CGCCTTTTAGCCAGTAGAAGCCTTCTTAAGCCTCGTTTAGTTGAGTTGTTGTTAATCCTAGTTTGCTTTCTTTCGTTTCCTGCCGTCCTGTATTTGTTTTGGTTAACTATTAGCCAGCCAGTGGAGTACTAATCTAAAATTTGTATCCTCAGCTGGACCACCACCATCAGATGAATCCATTGCTGGCACCGCCCTACTCAGGAACTTTGCCATTCAACTCCATGGACCTGTCCTTGCAGTCCGCCCGCAGCGCGGCCCAGCCGCTGGCCAAGCAGCCGCCGAACCAGCAGCCACAGCAGTCCCAGCAGCAGCAACAATCCCTGATGCATGCGCCCAACTACCCTTCAATGTATGTATAAGTACCATTTATATTTCAAACTAGATCTGACCAATCTCTTTACGATACAGTCAAAATCTCACGACCAATGCCACGCCCACCAGCGCACAGCTGCAACAGCAGCAGCAACAGGAACATATGGCAGCCATGGCAGCTGTCCATGTCAGTCTCCTGCAGTCCAGCCGCCAAAATCAGGGAGCCCCTTCAGGAAACCTCAGCAACGGAGGCGACTGCGAATCCCTGCTGCCGCCACCACCGCCCACAACTGCCTCTGGAAACAGCAATCACGCGGGGAGTAACAGCAGCAGCAATAGTGGGAGCAACAATCACATAACCAGCCCGCACTACATGCAAACTCGCGACGAGAACTTCAAGCTCGCGCAATTAAAGCGAAGCTTTGACCACGAGCTGATATCGGGGAAGAATCAGCAGAAGGACAAGGACTTTGGCTACCCGTCGGCGGGATCAGCTAGTAAACTGCCCACGCACAATGTGCAGCAGCAACATGCCAACAAAAAACGTAAGATGAATGGCGTTATCTAGTACTATTACCATATTAACCTAATATCCTTCTTTTTAGCCTCACCTCTGCGCAACTATCACCAACAGCAGCAGCCGCCTTACAACTTAACGCCCAAATACAATGGACCACAGACGCCGCCTACGCCTCAATCACCGCTGGCTGCGCCTCCTCATCAGATGCAATCACCCACCATGGACTACAATCAGCTGCATCTGCACCACCAGCTCAATAGCTCGGGAGGAGGCAGCTACCAGCACATGCAGCAGGATCAAACGCAATCACAATCACACCCCCAGCACTTACACTACCACAATCAGCATGCGGCCAGCCAAACAGCTCCGCCGCCCCTCCTTCCCCCCCACTTGACCAGCAGCCAGTTCCACGGACAACCCCAGGATGCGGCGCAACAGCAGACAGCCTCCTCAAGTCAACATCAAACGCACCATTCCCGCAACCCGCAATTAACGAATCTCGATCTGGTCGTCAAGCACAAACCAGAATCGGAGGAACAGCCTCTAATAACTGATCTGTCCTACCGGAATTCGGAGTCAGATAAACCTGCGGCCAACGCGGTGCCAGATGCCCCAGAGTCTCCCTACCTGACCACCTCTAATGAGGAGTCGCTGGAGTCGAACAGCAACAGCAGCAATAGTCGGAAGCGACGCAAACGAAAAGCCAGTACGGTGATGAGAGTTACCCCAAATGAAAATGCCCCTCAGGGAGGAGCGAGCAAACCGCAGCATCAACAACCACAACAGCCGGCGCACCATAACAACAGCTGCAGTCCCAAACGATCGCCCAAGAACGGAGGCGGTGAGTTTCAGCCTTTCAGTTTGCAAAGCCAGTCGCAAACGCAGAACGAGAAGACGCCGCAGGAGAACGGCCGTGGAGGATCACCGGCTCCGGCGGAAAACAGTAGCAACAGCAACAGTTCGACGCTGTATCACGACAACGAGAACCCCAAGACCAAGAAGCAGCGGCAGGCCCTGCTGCAGCGGAACCTCACAGAGCAGCACCGTATGCAGCAGGAGGATGAGCCTCCCAAGAAGCGCACGCCTCCCGCAATGCCGCCACCTAGTCCGCAGAGCAACAGCAGTAGCAGTAGCTCTAGCAGCTCCAGCGCCAACACGCACAGCAGCCACAGCAATCATGCTGTCAATGATAATCAGAGAAATCAAAAGCCTGAGATCAACAATAAGGCCACCACAGATACACCTGCGTCTCCTGCCCTCGTGGAGCAGGGCAACATTGATGCCAAGCCGGCTGTAAGTGTTCACGAGTGCGACGAGGAGGAGGAACCGGCAGCCAACAAAGAATCACCTGCGCATCATGTTCCGCCTTCCACTCCCGCTGTTGCTGCTGCTCCAGTGCACGAATCCCCCAAGAAATCTTCACCCGCTCTCAACTCTGAGCCCTGTCCTTTTGATGTGGAGGATAAGCTGGAGCAAATGTTTGCCGGCATCGAGGAGGAGACGGAAAGGATATGCAGCCCGGAAAAGCCAGCTGAGGAAACGGGAGAGTTGGTATCACACGATTTGACCGCCCAGCTGGCTCTGGACAGCGCCAAAACAGACGATGCGCCAGCGGATAAAGAGGAGACCTCAGTGCTAGCAGTTCTGGCACCAACGCCAACATCTACACCCGAAATCCGACCGGTGGCAACAAAGGCGGCTATGAAGTCTACGCTACCAAGTCCTGTTCACAGTCCTACGCCTCAAGCTCGCTCCACGTCAACACCATTGGCAACAGGTGACGACAGTAAATCGAATATCCCTGTTCCACCTAAAACGCCTGCAGCTCGGAGACCGCCGCCACGTAGACTTTCCATGGGCATGGATGTCTCACTACTGCGTTTTATGATCGACGACCCGCCTGCCAAGAAGCCAGGTCGCAAGAAGAAGGTGATGCCAGAGCCGGAACTGGAAGATGATGACAAGCCCAGCACCTCGGCGGCAGCGGCTGCGGCTCTTGCAGCTCGTCAACTCAGTGAAGCGGCATCCGCTTCCAAGGGAAAAGCTGCCGTAGCAAAGAAAAAGAATGCCGTGGGCAAGGGCAAGAAGGGACCAGCGGGGAAGGGTAATGCGAAGAATGCAAAACAAAATGGAAAGAAGCCGGGACGAAAACCTGCCTTTACCACCGACGAGGACAGCACTCCGGCGCCAACAAACGGTGGAGGAGCAGTTCCCGAGCTAAGATTCAAATCTCCCTTCATTCTCATCAAGCCGGACGGATGTGTGAGTATCAAGAACACCCACAGTGCCGAGGACGTGAACGAGAAGCAGACAAAGGCCAAAAAGGCGCCGCACGAACGAAAAAACTTGAGAGGAATGCACAGCTCCACGCTGAGCAACCGCTACGATGCGGACACCACCGACTCCACCTGGATATGTGTGTTCTGCAAGCGTGGTCCTCATAAACTCGGCCTGGGGGATCTCTTCGGTCCGTACCTGGTGACTAGCGACTGTGACGAGTATCGTGCGGCTGTGCAGGCACCCGGAGTACAGGACATCGATGGACTGTTCGTCAACAAGCGAAGGCGGGAGGACATGGTAAAAGTGCAGGAGCGAAATTTACCCGTGGTACCAGCGACGCTGGCCCACATTATGCAGGCACCTAAGATAAGCATGGTAAGATAAGAAACACTTTATAAGTTTGACAAATTTGTAAACTTACTTTGCCTTATTTGTTTATTTAGCACAAACGCAAGCGCAAGCAGACGCACGACAGCTCGATATCCTACAGCGACGACCCTAATGAATCGCGCTCACAGTGCTCATCTGTGGACCCGCTAGATTGCAGTCACGAAACCAAGTTCGTGGAGACCTTCCGCGGCATGGGCAAGACCTCAGAGCACGGCTTTGAAGTTTGGCTGCACGAGGACTGCGCCGTCTGGAGCAACGATATCCAGCTGATTGGCGCCCACATCAATGGACTGGATGCGGCGGTGTGGGACAGTACGCGGTATCAGTGTGTGCTCTGCCAGCAGACGGGAGCCAGTATATGTTGTTTCCAGCGATGTTGCAAGGCGGCTGCTCATGTGCCGTGCGCGCGATCCGCCAATTGGAGTCTAGGGGAGGAGGACCGCAAGGTATTCTGCCAGCTGCACAGCAGGGAGCCTGAGGTCGTTGAACCCATGAAAACGGAGCCGCTAGCGCCGGTGGAAGTACCAGTGGCTCCTGCACCCGCACCCGCACCGCCACCCCCTTTTAACATACATTCGCTTCCCTGAGTACGCGTGCGCGTCCAGAAATGCCGCCTGGTCGCCAAGCGTTGAGCGTTATAGGCACGATCCCCAGATTCCTGACTCCGACTTTGAACCCAAAACCCAACCGAATCCGCAGCACGCTGCACACTTTACTTAAGCTTTGTACATAAGTTTCCGACTGCCGTCATCGCCAGGAGGGCATTTCGTAATACGTGAAGTGATTTTGTATAAATCCGCTGTACATTTTAAGGCTTGACGCACCGCACAGACGATATCAGAGCGTTTGCCACGTTATAGTTAGGTTCCCTTGAAGCATCCTTAGTTGTTTATGTTTAAGTCAATTCCTAAATTATTCTTTCGCATAGTCCTGCTCCTTACATTAGTACCTTTTAGTTCTAAATAATTTTAAAGCCTCCATCCCATGTCTAATGCCCACCCAGCTGCATCACATACGCCAATTGATAATTGATAATTCGGTTTAGTTGAATTCAGTCTGTTTGTATAAACGAATACTCCATGCCATACCGATAACCAACTGAGTAATCATGATAACTGAAGTAGCTATGGGGATTTCCAATTGATATATGCGATGTGAAGTTGCAGTAAAGTTACGTATAAATAGAAAATGTTTGACACCAAGTAAGCGAGAACATTCGAAGCCCAATTAAAAATGGAATATTGTAAAACAATATAATATGCGTATAATAATATTAGTAATGTTAATGTAAGCGAAAAGTTAAAGCCAGCAAAATGAAACCTTGTATTGTATTCGTATTCAGTAAGGTCTGTACGTATTGCTGATAATTTTAAAACTCTAAAACGTATAAACAATAAAAACTTAATCTCACAAGCAACAGGAGGGCGACCTCGATCGGGTTTTTGTAAATTTTTCGTTTTATTTATCAATAAATATGCAGAAATATACACACACATACATACGAATAGAGTATGATTTTTGAACAAGTGATCTTCTATGGTACAATTCTCGGCTTAGCTTAGGCATAAATAGTTTACTAATTTAGCTATAAGTTAAGTTTCTAGTCCTAGCTCGTTAATCTCGTAATATCGTTTAGAAGCGGCGCAACCGCCGGCGCAGTTGCTGCGTTACATCGTTGGGCAGTCGACCCACGCTGCTCTGGGGAACATCGTAGGATGTGCGTCCAGCGTAGAAGGCCCGTTCCCGGCTCTTGCCAGATCCGCCGGAGAGGCTGGCCTTGCCCGTGGAGTCAGTGAGTTGCAGCTGACTGGCCGACACATCGCTGCGCTTCTGGGCCAACTGCAATCCGGGTATCAATCCGTTGCCCAGCGTGGGAAGCTGAATATTCAGGTGATCCACATGGCGACCGGCTATCACCGGACCCTGAGCAATGTTCCCGGAGGATACGGCCACGGGTGGAGCCAGAGGCGGGAACTGCGGCAATTGCTGCTGCTGCTGCTGGTAGGGCACGAAAATATTGGGCGTCAGATATGGTTGCTGGATGGTGTGGATCGTCGGACGTTGCTGTTGCTGCTGGTGGAAGTGCTGTTGCTGCTGTGGTTGCTGATATTGCTGGTAGATGGTCTGCTGCTGGGGTTGTTGGTATTGCTGTGAAATGAAGCTCAGTTGCTGCTGCACAGGCTGACGTTGCTGCTGCACAGACGACTGATATTGCTGCTGTATAGACTGATGTTGCTGATGTACAGACTGATGTTGCTGCTGTACCGACTGATGTTGCTGCTGCACAGACTGGTGCTGCTGCTGCACAGACTGGCGTTGCTGCTGTACCGGTTGTTTTTGCACTCGTTGCTGCTGAATGGTTTGCTGCTGATAGTGCTGCTGCTGTTGCGGCACTCGCTGTTGCTGTTGCAAAGTGGCGGCGGAAGCAATATTGCTGCTGCTGCTGGCAGGACTCTGACCGAATTTGTTGTTCAGGAAATCGTTAAGGGAAACATAAGAGTTGCCTTGGTTGTTAGTAACGGGTGACTGAGTGGCCAAGTTCGAGATGATGTTGCTGGCGGAGTTGGGAGCAATACGTTGACCTTCAGCGCGAGCAATCACGATTCCGGGCGGCGGAGATATCTCAGGTAACTGAGCTGTTTGCTGGGGGCGTGGCGGTGCAGTCAGCGTGGAAATAGCTGAAATAGAAGAAAGGCAATTGGATTTAAGATTTCCGTTTACAAATTTAAAACATTTTCATGACATTGAGAAAACGGTTAAGTAGAGGCAATGCTCTAGTTAAATTTTCCTAATCCTCACCTGGCGCTGCTGCTGGCTTAACGTAGCTGCTGCTGAACGAGTGATGTTGCTGCTTGACCACTTGGTGGTGCTGCTGCTGCTGCTGTTGGCGTTGCTGTTGCTGCTGTTGATGGGAACCCTGTGTCTGGGCACTCTTGAAATTCTGCAAAACGGATTCGTCAACAATGGCACGGGTTAGCTTATCGAAGGAAAGGAAAGCGGAGGCGGGAGAAAGGCTTGATGTGGTTTGGGATTGAGAGGCGTGGCCAGCGAAATCGTCGGCGGTGTGTGTGGCATAGACTTGTGATGGTGACTGGTGTGACTGTTGGATGGGCTTGCTGATCTGGGGTGTCTGGGTAGCCGGGCTATAGCTATAGCCACCATTGTAGTTGGATGCCAGAGCAGAGATGTGTTGGTTCAACGAGGAAAGCGAGGAGGTGGGCCGCAAGGTGGTGCTCCTTGGGGTGGTGGTGCCTCGAGTTCTTTGCACTGGCGCTTGGGTCTTGAAGTTGGAGAAGCGATTCTTTCCGCGATTTATGGTGACGGTGGATCGTTGGGAGGTGGCTTGAATATAGCTCCTGGGAGTGGTGGTTGTGGTGGTGGTGCTCGAGATGATTCCCACATTGCTGACAGGTGCTCGTGTTGCTGGTGTGTACACCCGGTTGCCGCGTTGCACCTGGAAGCGTTGCAAGTTACTGTGCACCGTGTCCCAGTTGGCCTTGCTGGGAGCAATCCTGGTCTCGCGCTCAAGGTCCCTGACTGATAGCTTTTTGTTTGGACCCGGATCAGCTCCTCCACGTAATTGCTGGAAGGAGGAAACCGTGGTGGTGGTCGTTGGAGCTGTTGTGGTGCTGGGCAAGGTCGTTGTCGTAGCCTTGGTCGTGCTCCTGGTGGCCTGGGACAGTCTGGAAAGGCGCAACCTACTGGCTGCCAGGCGTTCCAGGTAGCTCTTAGTGGTTGCCGTGCTCTTTGGTGTGGTGGATGTCGTTGTGGTGCGCACGGTGGGCAAAGGACGGATGTGGGCACGCTTCAACTTGGCTCCAGGACGATTCCTGCGGTAGCCACGAATGCGCTCCTGAGTGCTACTAATCTCGGTGACCACTTCGGTGGATGTGAGCATGACCGGGGTGATGGGACTACCAGTGGTGGTACTAGTGACCTCTATTTGGTTCCTTTCCAAAGCCTTCTCTTCGTTGTGGGAGGTGAGTTGCACTCCTGCTAGCAGCAACTTGGCTGCCTCCTGATGGACATCCTGCTTCTCAGCGGATTCGGGACTCTGCTCCACATGGACTATATCCTCACTAATGGGCAGACTGCCAGTCAGAGCAGCTGCCTGGCCAATGGACTCAAAGCCCGGTTCTTCCCCGGTAGAAACCACTTCTGCTGGTGGTGGTGCCAGAAAACTAAGTGGTTCTGCTGCCGAGGTGGAGGTATAGGTAGTCTCAGGTGCCGCTGATGTGGTAACTTCCTCATCCTCAGCGGGTGGCAAAGTGGGTGCTATCAGCAGTTGTTCTACCGATTCAGTGGTTGTCGAAGTGGTGCTACTTGTGGTTTTCGAAAACTTGTGTTTATGCTCAATGGATTTATGATCTTCGGCGGGTATCTCATTGGGCTGTTATTGTGTATATGTGTGTTTTGTGGTTTTGAGTGGCGTATGTAAGCGATAGTTGATAGAGTAGAAATATAGATAGAAAGATAGATAGACAGAGATACAACAAGTTAAGATAGAGTTGGAAATAATGGAATAGAGATAAAGTACCCCAAGTTAGTTTATATCTTGTACTGAAACTCACCGTAAATCTGACAGTGCTGGGCGTTTGTTTGGGTTTAATGTATCCATAGCCCGTGGATGAGCTGCCCTTTCCATTACCCTCACTCTGCATCGAGAATCCTCGACTTAGGAACCGGAAGGGCTGCTTAACTTTCGGCGGAGCCATGGATTGATAGCCGGAAACGGAAGGATCCACATCGGTGGATACCTCATCCAGCAGGTTGTTGATATTCGACACAAGATCTAGTTGCACGGCCTCGTCCTTGGTGTTTCTTATATGCTTGACGTATTCGGGAGCCATCACTTCTCCAGAGTTGGATTCCGAATCGGTTAGGATTTCCAAGCCCGCGTTCACTCGCTCAGCAAAGTTCTTTTGCTTTTGGTAGTGGTATTCCCTGGGATATTCCGCCACAATATGGGCATTGGTGTGATCAAACTGAATGCCAGGGTCTGAGGAAAGTTCTCCCAAGCTGTTCACATAGATACCCTCGTCTTCGTTCTCCAGAGTTGCGCTGCCTGTTTTCACAGGATTTAGGGGTTCACTTTTGATAGCTTCTCCACGTCCTACAACTTGGGTTTCCTGGACATCAATGGGCTTAATAACCGCAGGTTGACTCAACACACCACTTGCTGCACTCAAATCTTTGCTAAAACTTTGATGCGGATTTTGTGACTGAGATTGGGTCTGTTGCAAAGCCTTTGAGATAGTTTTCATGGGGTACTCCATCATGTGACGCACTCGCTCCATCATCTCGTGGGTGCTGCCCACGGATTTCTCCTCGTTCATTTCGTAAAATCTCTCCGATTCATCGCAGTTCACATTGCGGTACCAATCGCACACAAAGTTCTTCTGGCTGAAGAGCGTTCCGTTGGGACAGAGGAAACCAAATCCTTGAGGGGTTCTGGCGGTATGGGCACAAATCCGGAAGGCCTGACAGCGACTCTCCACATCTGCGTAGTAACCTATAGGGGAATCAAATAATTCAATTATTAAATCTTTTATATTAAAACTATTATTGATGTTATAATATTACGTACGTTAGAAAATATACTGTATAGTAAAGAAAAATGCAAGCCAAATTTAAATAATTAAATCATATACAATATACATTTTTGGATTTATTTCTTAATACAAATGGAAAAAATATCAAGAAACTATAGTAATAACAATTAGTATAAGATCTTTTTATCTATCTATCTTTTTTACCTTATTTAAAACAGTTGAAAATGTATAGCTCGAAGTTTTATAACTCGAAGGGTCTATAAGTCGAATTAATTTTATTGGCAGGTGATTTGCATTAACTTCTGTACTTAAGTTTAAGTTTAAAAATAGATCTTTCCAAGATGGAGTACCCACCTTCATGCCTTCCTTTGCACACAAAGCTCGTCTTGGGCGGTGCACTCAGAATGGGATAATCCAGACCGGGTTCTCCGGGGATCGTGTGCCTCAGGTCGAATTGCTGATCCGTGTACTCGCTGGACTTGTCCGCATCCTCGAATTGCTCTCGACTGCTGCTCTGGCCCTGGACCACGCCCACCAGGAGGAGGACGAGTGGAGCCAACCACAGACAGGAGCTGGGCGGCCACATGCTAAAGGGAAAACAAAAATCAAACATCAAAAACATGCAAATTGTATTAATTGTGACATTTGTGAACGGCGATTTGCGACACTTTATTCATTAGGCTGATTAATAAACCATGAATCGGGCCGAAACTCATTGATTAAAATGTGTGTTTTGGCCCATTTGCATACAAATGCGGTGGACAACGGAAACACGTAAGGGGTTAGAGATTAGCATATAACATATATCTGAATATATGTAGTAGCGAGGCGTGTCCACAGCTCTCACGTAACCGAATCGAGCGGATACTAAATGATTTATATGGCCCAAACAAATGCCATTTACAGCTGGACGGTGCTTTTTTTGCAACACTGTCCGCGCTGTCCGGATATTATTTTGCGTGGGGTCTTGGAGTCGACAGATCGGGCCATTTTCGGCCAAGTGTGTCCATCAAATGGCAATTAAATTCGATTGGGCTTATCTTTTGCATTCACAATAAAAGGAGGCAGCAGCATAAGCAGCAGATGACCCTGAAATGATCAAGCTTGATCTAGATGTTATGCCTCTTGAACATTAAAGATCGATATCGGATCAATGAAGTATTTGCTCTACAGCTTCTTTACGAAGGCATACAATACCCAATCATTAATCACTTGGCATTGTTTTATTGATGGACCACGATTATTAATCATACGTGAGCCTTATTAGAACGTGGCTAAAACCGAATTAGCCAAAGCAAATCGAAACTAAACGCAAACAGAAATCAAGTATTTGCAGCGCTTCCAGTTAAACACTTGAGCAATCAATTCTCGATGGCTTTTCGATCGTCTGCTGAGGTCATTTGGGGCTATTATGTTTACCGAGTGATATGTGCTGACAGCGGATGGGGATACAGCTACAGAAACAGATAAATTTCATATTTCATGCAAATTAAATCGAAAGACTTAGGCAACGAACTCGACGACACGGTCCATCTTATTCACCCTGAATGATTACCTCTAATTGTTCGCAAAGATTGTTGTGTAAGGAAGCAAAGCGTAAAGAAAACACTCCACTGGCTGTTCAATGAAAATATATTCAGAGGCAATTGTTGGCGAAAAGTTCGATTTTATTAGTGCAGCTTGAGGGTTTTCGAAAGGGGCAAAAATCAAACCAAATAGTGGCTGCTAAAAATAGGTGCTCACTTAAACGGACAACAAAAGCCTAATTGTCTACCAATTTGCAATGATAACTCTATCGTTTATATAAGACTTGCAGATGATGTAATAATTGAAAGGCCATAATTACGAGCATAATAATTGCAGTGCCCCGTTGACATTCCCCATGGCAGTCAATAACCTTCCCGTAAGTCAACAAACTGTAAGCTGGCCAGTTCTATAATGACAATCTAAGCGACATCTAATTGAATTTTAATGATCCATCTTCAGGCAGAGTCTTTTTTAGATTGTTCAATACTTAATATGCAAATGTCGTGGGGAAAATGGAAAATGACCTCCTCAAGAGATGCGTACTTATAGCGGAATGCCACCAGTTTTTCGTTACAGAGTTCCAATTACAATTCGACACTTTCAGGGTCAATATCAAGAGCAACGCACAATAACCAAACAAAAAAAAAAGCGAAAACAATCCAAAGACAACGAGGAAGCATTCGGTATAGAAAATGTTTTACTTCTCATTGTTTTCAATGATCCATCAAAACATTAAAATGCCAGACAAATGATGATTAAGATGAGAGGCCCCCGAACAAGAAGCCAAGAATAGGGAAGGAAAATTTCAGATAACAGTCTTTGCATTGAAAACGGAATAAAAGCGAATGGAATGAGGTGCCTAAACCGAGAATATATATTAGTTGCTGTAATTCAAATGCCTCGATCATTACTTTTTATGATCTGTGAGTGAGTTTGGCTTTTGGTTTCGGTGCAAATTAATTGACAGCACGTTTTCGAGCCGGGCCGAAGTGAACCATAAATCTTTAACAGATATCACGAGAACGGGTTATGTATTTAATTATAGCGAATCTCTAACTTTGACTCCATGGCGCCGACAAGCCCACGAGCGCTGGGTGTCATCCAGCTGAATTGATGACTGTCCCAGGGATGGGTTTGCATATAGGTGGGTATTTTTAGAAGGATCTAAGTTTCCGCGGGTCTGTCAATGCTTCTTCTCACGATCTCACCTCAGAGATTTGAAGAGCCCGCATCTTTGGAATTTGCTCAGTTTTGGTCAGATGACGTAAATCTGGTGCGTAACACAAGAGATTGAGAGGGAGCCACTTCTGGCTGTCTCGTCGATCTCGGGGGTTCCGTGATTTGCCTTTTTTAATATCCGTTTAGCTATTTCGATTCAAGAGGTCGAGAAGTCTGCTATGTCAACATATCATTTGCGGATTAGGAATCATTATTTTTGCATCACCTCTCAAACAAAAATAAGCTTCTTAGGAAGTAAAGGGGTTCTAAGAGATGTGGAATGTGGGCCAAATACAATGATATGTAATTATCATGAAAATGTAATGTAGCTTTATGTTGAAGAATGTTGTTTGTCCATTATATTGAAAGTGTCAGGTTTTTGGTTTGGCAAAATAAAAAAATAAATCAGTTATATAAATGAAAATAATTTCTTGTACATTTTAGCCATTTCTTCGACATCCCAAAATAATTTTTGTTGAATATTTCGGTCGTGTTACATTTTGCGACAAGAAATTAAAGGATCAAGCTTTAATCGTTTGTCACTATTCACATTTTTTTAGCCCTCCAATTCATATTCATAATATGATTCATAAATATGCTTTCGAAGAAATATGATATTTTTCCCAAGATATCCATTCTAATTTATCAGAAGATCTAAATAGGTTCACAAATGAGCTTACTGCTTCTTATAAGCTTTTCGACTTGGTGGGCGTGTGACATTTGTCATACTCAGCTTTTTAATGAGTATATATTTATTGTTCGCTTTTGGCAGATGATTATCTGTATTTGTTCTCCATGCAGTCACATTTTTACCTTATAAATCTCCAAATAAACGCTTAAACTGGACCGAAAATTAATTTGTTTTCGGGTTTTGTTGGGAACTTTTCGTTTCGTAGCACAGTAATTCGTTTTTGGTAAACAACTTCACAAACACATTAGCCGAAGCGGGGATAAAGCATTATCCTGTCAGGCGGTTGGGGTTATCCTTCACTTTATATTTAGATGCCGGCTGAGGAGCGGAAAAACCAGGCAAACTGAACCGTTCGAGGCGCGAACTTGAACTGAACTCGACCATCCAAAGGTAATCGAAATATTTTGGCCAAAAAGAGTTCGGCCAGCAGCAGAAGCAGCAGCAGCATCCAAAATCAGCAGCGGCAAGACCCCGAAATATGCGTCAAAGAAGAAGATACAAGCCCGACCAAAACCCAAAGCCCAAACAGCAACAAAAGACCATCGATTGCGTATGATGATGATGATGATGTTGGGATGTTGCTGCTGGGAAACCGGTGACAACCTGCTGCTGCCGAAAATGTTGCTGCTGCCAGTCTACATAACAGTATCAGTTGGAGTCCATAAAAATGAAAAAAATAAAAAGTCACAAAAGAAAGGCCACCAAGATGCTGTCAACTGTCTTCCTTTAGGGCGTGTATGCATGGGAAATTAAACAACAGTAAAAACTCTGTAATATAAGATAAACTAAATACAGTAAGCCTTTCTATACCAATTACTAGGGGATTATTTACTAGCCTTACTTTTATTTCGAGTTAAAAGTAAAAGCTTTATACCATTTATTAGGTATTTTTATAAAAGTGGGTTGTATCAAGTCTTAAGTGCTAACTTACTAGGTCAATGGGTCCATCCTTGAAAATGTATTTTAAAAATGTAAAAAAGTGAATTTATTAGGGACTTGATTAATTAGTTATGTGCGTCCATACCTTTACTAATCAAAACTAATTCGTTGCCCTACTTCTTAGTTGTATTTTTTAATCAAAAATAATTTTAAGTCAACAAAATAATGATGAAATGTAAAATAAAATTTTTTTTTTGCTTAAAATTAGCTTGCTTTTTCTTATTGTTTTGTAATATTTTTGGGAACAAAGTTCATAAATGATTTAAATTATTTATTAAAAATGCCTTTTTCTTCTTCAGGGCTTTCACTGTAATTCCCGAAAACGCTTTCGTTTTCATTTGATTTTGGTTTTCACACGGCCTGAAAAATGTGGCAGATCGGGTTGTAGCCAGATTCCTTCCCAAGTGCCGCATAATTTATCGAAATAACAGAGCTTAATGGATAGTTATGGATAGGGGGTACGTTAAGAAGGAAGAGGAGCTCATGCCAAGGGACCTGACTTCCGCATATCAGCGAACCTTAGACCGCGTTTGAGTATCGTGTGACCCAAATCTGAAATTTTAATTAAACAAAAGCTCGATCAATTAACATTAAGCGCTGCTAAACAGCTGCACTTGAGGCGCGTTTTTGGCTCGCTGGCTCTTTTGGCCAAATGATTGATGGATGGCAGTGGCGTTGGCGGTGTCATGTGAGCGTGGATCCGCAGATCAGCAGATCCACGCATATCAAACTATCAAACGCCTTGGTGCGCGTTCTACAAATTGGATTTTGAGCGCCATCCAACAAGCGGACAAGCTGAAAAATTGTTTGCCACAATATCTGCCCCTGATCCGCTTAAATGTTTTTTTCCCATGTTTTATTTTTTTTCGCCGATAAACGTGTCGGACAAGTGGCCAAATATTTGCCATGACAGCACTGGGAAAAATAACAATATAGAAAGGGTAAATAATGGTTCTTAAATACTTTCCTTACTAGAATTCAATATCTACTACCAGAACTCAGAAAACACAATTTTGAGCTTTAGTGCAGAAAAATTGTACACAGAATATATATGTAAAATAAAAAACACGTGAACTGTTTATCTCTAAAATGGCTGATATTCATTCTTTCGATAAATAAGTGATGATTTGTAATAATAAATTGTGGATCATTAGGAAACAAAGGAAACATTTTGTAGTGAAAAATATTTATTTAAAAGTAATCATTTTTTAAGTGTAATACTATATTTACAAGTCCGATTCGGGGGCTCAACTTACCGGCCTGCAACTGTGGCAACATTGTGAAGTGGGTCAGCAACTTTCAGTGCCACATGTGCATCATGTGCATTCCTATAAAAAGTGCAATGATGATGCAACTGCATTCGAGTTGAACGCCAGTTGAAATGCAATCCGGAACTGCACTCGTCTTTATTTTAGCAGCTCTGATCGCTGCCATAATCCTGCCATCTCAAACTTTAGCCATTCCCCAGGAAGATGACACCGTTGACAGACCAAACACCGATTATCCCGCTCTATTTAGATCATTTTTGGAAATGGGAAATGCCCTCTTCGGAACTTGGACGCCCGAAGGAGCTGTGGAGGAGTTCATAAGGAGACGAGAAGGTCAAGGTTTTGGCTATTAGGAAATACCCGAAAACCACCTACATAAAACTTTCCACAGATGCGTTGCATAAGTTTTGCATGCATCAATAATGATGATTTTAACAAGACGACAAACAGCTAAAGAAAGGAGGTTTAGCAGTTTAAATTATGCACGCTTCAGTTTTTGGCCATATCACCCATCATTACCAATCCGTCTGGTATAATGGCTATTAGATATTCGGTTTTTTGCTTAAGCCAATGCCCTGACAAAGGGGTTATTTAAACTTATCATATTTGTACTATAAAATAAAAAATCCTTGACAATACAAACTTGGAAAGATTTTTAATATATAATTTGGTGGAATCTTTGGTTCCATTTAAAATATTAATAATGTTTTACAACTATGAAAACCCCAACGAATTATTAATTATTGTAATTTGATCTGAAGGTATTCTATTTTAATGATGATGGTAATGATCGATGTAAGGTTCTGTAAGGTACTTCCCCGATCGGTGCTCCAATCAAAACCAATAAATAAAAGCGAATAGAAGCAAACACGCGCTGCCTGCCATTCGGCATTGTGGGACATCGATCAAATTGACTAATCATACTTATTTTTGATTCAACCGACGCACAGTAATACCAAATCGAATCCCAGCCGTATTTATGCAAACAACCACCTACGAAATACGGTGATCATTTTGCAATGGAACTCCGTAGAACCCCAGCACTTGGTAGACAACTGATTGAATCGTCTGATGATGAACGGCCTGCTGATTTGAATGGGTACAATCAAAATAATCACCTGGCAAATTCTCTCAATTATTCCGCATAATAAATGAATAAATGAAGCCAAACAATTTGTCTGGCGGCCCGCTTCCAAGTGTTTCCTTTGTGCTGCTGGCAAGTGTTTTCTTTCCATAAATTAAGTAATCCAATTGTGGCTGATCGCCAGTCATTCATCTTGCTCCGCTATATAGATTCGGTTATTTATATTTGTTTGATATTCCACCTGCGGGCGGCGAGGCGATAGAAATCTTTACTTCCTGCACGTGTCAAATAAATTATTGAGTCTGCACATCATCATTTGGCCTGCCTTTAATTGCTGGTTATCGTGGCTGTCAAGTAAAGATTTGCCGGCTTAAACTATTATTAAAACTTAATTTGCCAACCCATTTGGCCAAGAACGCGAAATACAGAGGAAACTTTAGATCAAATGGTTTCGTTTTCAATGGTAAGATCACGTGCTATACGCCGACTTTCAATGGGATATCTTTATTTATATGAAAAGGGAACAGGTATTCCCGACCTATAATTATGATCTATCGGTTTGAAATTTATTAATTGGTTCTGGAGAAATAAACTCGGTAGTTGATGGCTTGGCTTTTGTTTTGGTTTAAAAAACACTGGTTCTTAGGCTCTTTTACTGGCAATATATTAAATTGAATACCCAATTTATTCAAGAAACAAAAAAAAAATTGTTATTGACATATTTCCGACCGTTATCATATCAAGATCGATACATAAATTAAGTATTGACAGTAAAAATTGCAAACAGATTATAAATAAATAATTTTTCGATTTGTTTAAGAAACATTTTTTTGCAATTCAACTGGGGACTTGATAGGACATTTAGATTGGAAATAGTTTGTATATGAAATCGTATTTCTATACCTTGAATCGTACATGCAACATATCTCAAAAGCAAACCTATATTATCGTGTGCAGACATTTGGATGCTTCCAGACAAAGTTATTCTTTAATTATATGCAAATCCGAGCCCGTGGAGTAAAGCTTCAAATCCGAACACCCAATCCATTCATTCATGGAGATTTGATTTGATTACACTCCACTACGGGGGGAACATTCATACACAAATTTTCGGATCGCGGGAGCATGCAATCGGTGACCACTGAGTAACTGGTGACCAGGGAGCCGTGGAACAGTGGATCGGTAATCATCATTAGTTAGCTTCAATCATTTGTTTTCCGCTTAAACAGTGGGCTTAGCATGCAAATAAGACGAGTGGAGGAGCCAAGTTCCCACAGACCCCGAGCGAAGGAGGCGAAGACTGATGGGCGTTGCTTCTGAACACATGTCAAACATCGCATTACTCAAAATGTTTTCAAAATTATTCGAATAAATCAAAATTAAGACACGCACACTTGTGAGATAATCGAAATCAAATGCTGTGAACCACCAAGTTTCACTTTCATTCGACACGAAAATTCCCGAATATTGTTTTCATGCATTTAGGGTTCAAATTTTAAACTAAAAAGTGATGTAAGCAAATGCCTGATTGGAGGCAGGCATTTTTAAATCAAATTACTTGCATTCATTCGGTAAATTGCTGCGATGAAGATCCATTTCCGTAACCCCAAGAAAAATTCCGAAGATTTGATACCCGAAAACCAAGCCCCAAACCCCAAAGCCCAAACCCTAACCAACATCAAAATAATCAAACGCCTATTACATCACATCAACATATACTATATATGCAGATGGAGATGGAGATGAAGCTGAAGATGCCGGCAAACGGCGTCTGACAAACACATGTTAATTTCCACTCATCTCGGAGCTACGGGTTCGGATATCTTGTTTCTATTTTAGCGTCCCCATTTCTTTACGCCGCTCATATTATTGATTTCTTTTGGCAAGCCAAATTTCATAATCACACGCTACTACTCCGAAGAGCTGCCGGATTATTATCAACGCCATAAATTAATCAGAGGCGAGAGGGATCCATATCCCAGTACCAATACCCAGTCCAATTCCCCAGAGGTTCCAGAGCCCCCAGAGAAATGCATATGCTAATGGAGGGGCAGAGTGCCGGGGTCTTCGCTTTGATATTGCCGGAAAGCCGATGTGCAAGCAAGGCATTAATTTAATTTTATGTATTTATTATGCATTTGCCGGCCACACGTTTTTATTTTTCTTTTTGTTTTTAATCGCGCGATTGCCACAAAAACTAGCCAAATGCCAGCGGAGAAAGTGGAGGAGCTGCACCAGAGCCCATCCCATCGTACACTTTACACTTTATCTATTTTATAGGACAGTTTTATAAGAAAAACACATAAGGCTTACAAATACAGGTCAAATAGTGTTACAAAAAAGATATTCTAAACGCTTAAAAGTTTGAAAAATATTTAATAATACAATTATTAAAACATATATGTATATATCGGGTAACAAAAAAAGTTTCAATAAATCGTAGAACAATCCACTAACTTGAATAGGTTGTGTTTTTAAACTCTTCAAAATTTAATGCGATTTTTAAGACCAGTCCTCGTTGTGTTTTATAGGACAGGGTTTTAGAAAACGCGCATATACTTAAAAAAAACATGTTATCTAATGTTCCAAAAAAATTTTAATCCTTTCAAAATTTTGAAAAAATAATAGATATAACATACACAACTATTATATGCTACATAACAAGGAAAGTTTTAATGAACCATCTAAGAAATCCAGTATCTTCAAATTTGTCTGTGCTTTATCCATTCCATTCAGAAAAGGTTTATAGTAGTTATTTTTTTAATTAATCTAACCATATTCTAAAAATCTTATAAAGATAGTTTCTTATGATTTTTAGCCTGGACCGCTTTGCATAAATATGTGTCATCGATTAGTCAGCCCAAGCTGTCGGCACATCATAATCTGATTTGGGCATTTAAATCGTTTACAGTTTGCGACTCGGGATTGCGAAAGTGTTTTTTTTTGTTTTTTGGCAAATTAACAATCGTTTATGTATTTATAACTTTATGGGCGCCTCTCACCCTTAATCGCCAGCATTTGATTGTGAATTCAGAAATATAATTTTCCCTAATTTTTATGATATTTTATGTAACGGAGCTGTTGGGGTTTTCTGCTGGTATTACATATTATACCACCTGTCACAAATATATTCAACGTAGGGCAGGGCAGGGAAGGCGGGACCATAAATTAATTTATGATCGAATAAATCATACTTTTTATTGACGGTGGGTTGTCCATAACAGTCTTTTGTGATTTAATTCGAATGGACGTATGTGTCTGCTGTAAAAAATGAGCTTCCCAAACTAATGAAACACTCACTTCCAACTTTATTTCACTTTTTATTGGTATAATTACATTTTACATAGTTTCATTGAGGGTTCTTTATGGTTTTTATGATATAACATGCTTAAGTGTCACATTACAGATAGACAAAACTTAGTGAGTGTGTGGGGTAGGCTTAAGACTAATAAATGTGTTCTCTCATCTTGACTCGTATGCCTTTATTTGGTGTTAATGAACAGATCTTCACGCTTTGTTGTTACTGCGATTATACATCTCACATTAAGATTAATAATTTCAATCAGTTTTGTGAAGATTTTGCAAAGCTGACACCGCTCCACACCCACAATTCACATGCTTATTACGATCATGATCGCATCGTATTTTGGGTCTGCAAAATCTTCTGACAAAATGAACAATTTGTGTGGCGCAAACAATGTGCACGATATATCTGGTGAGTCTAGTAATTATGGGGGTTACTGATAGCTGCCCTTATCTATACATTTAATACTGGGTTTGACTTCAATTTCAACGGTTACAGTTCGCTGGGGCTTAAGCTTAGGTTAGGATAGCAAATCGCGAAGCAATCATGCACATTGTGGCCGACGCGATTGCTTAGACAAAATACATTTTACATAACGCAACTTAACGCTTAATCAACTGGTGCTGTTTGGGGCAAGAGTATTTAAAACTATTGTACTCGAAATTTCAAATGGTGTGTGTAATGGGCGACAGGATAAACATAACTAAAATAAAACGGATTCAAAAACAAGCAAGATATATGGGGACAAAACATGACAGATTAAACAACACGATTCATTATTCATAAGGATGTTCAGCTTTTAGCTTTCAGCTTGCACACACTGGCCCAAAAGCTGAACATTTACAAAAATGGCTTATTAAACATTCATAAATATAATTATAACGATTATGTAAATTGTATTTTATATTGTATGTTCTTCGACGTGACGACGCCTCTTGGCCATATCCTGTCAATCTCCAAAATCCAGCAAACCTTGCGTTCAATTTGCAAACTCCTTGTCGTTTGTCAAATTGAAATACTTGCTGAAAGTTTGGGAAATCGACCATCCATGGTGTAAACGACTTTTCGACGTTCGCAGATGCTTATGCTTAACACTTAAATGTAGTATACGTATAATAGATTCATTATTCGACGAGTTTCATCAAGCATATGACCACAAGCGGTTAATGGTTGTCTTGCTTTGAAAAATAAATCAAAAATTTTCTCATTTTCTCCTTTATGACGACCCGGGTTTATCCGTGAATGTGGATATCCTTCTAATTTTGTCCTGCACCACTGAGGTGCTCAGAAATTTTGTATTTATTTTTGAAAGCGATTGCCGCATGCAGCTAAGAGGTATCAATAGTCCTTTGTTCATCAATTCAATTCAAGTGGTTATTGAGCTTTCAACTTCAGCTTTAATCTTAAGTTTAGACACTGCAAACATTTGCATCTGTTCATTCGTGTTCATTATGTTGGGTTCTCATTAAGTCTAGTTATTGTTCGATTCTCGATTTGGATTAACAATGTTGCGGCTCTGTTCAGTGTACGCTTCTGTTCAATTTCGGTTACAATCAGTTCGATTCGTTAATCAATTCTCAACAAATAAATAAAATAATAACACCAGGTTGCACAACTTGCACATAAATAAATAAATAGGTATTAACTAATAATTTGCTATTTCAAAAAGTACTGTTTTTGCATTGCTTCTTACATTTCTCTTTTTTTGCTTCTTTTTTTGAATTTGCACACAGCTTGGCTTTTGGATTTTGTTTAGGTTGGCTTTGTGGACGGGTATTTTAATTGTTTTTTATCTTGCATATGTGCAACAACAAAAATTGCAGTTAATAGGGGCTTTCTAAGGAATTTTTAAACGGTTCTATGCGTATTTCATGGCATTGTTGAGCCCCAGTTTGCTGAGGATTTTCAATGCATTGCTAGCCGCATCGTTCTGCGACTCCTCGGAGCTCTTGCCAACGCCATGGCAGATCTGCGGGGGATTCGTGGAGAGCGTCACAATGGTCAGGAACTCCTTGTGGTTGCCCTTGGGATAGTCCGAGAAGTGGACCTGCCGTATAAACAACATTTGAAAATGAACAACTTAGGGAATTAATTATCATATAACTTGCCTCAAAGTCCAACAATTTACTAAGATATAGTAGCTGCTCTTTCATGTGGACTCCAGCACTTTGTGTGTTGCTCGCACTGTTGCTGCTGCTTTCGGTGTTGTTGCTACCGTTGCCGGTGTTGCTGCTGCTGCTGTCGGCGGTGTTGCTGTTGCTGGGTTCTGTGTTGCCACACACATTGCTGCTGTTGCTGCTGACACCACTTGTATTGCTGCCGGTGGAGGTATTCAGTGCGCTCTCACTGGCCACCTCGGTGGCCTGGGAATCGCTGCTGCTGCTGTTGTCGCCAGAGTTGCTATTGGTGCTGCTGTTCTCCTCAGCTGCAACAGCTACCTCCTTATGGGCCTCCTCCTCCTTGGACTCCACATTGGCTTTCACAACCACAACTTGATCTCTCTTTTTCGCGGCTGTAATGGTATAAATATGTTATGAGTTATAGCATATAATAGATAGAGTGGCGTAGCCTTACGTTTCTTGTTCTGGCGGAGTATTAAAATGCCCGGCATGGGTCCCGCTGGCGTTGATACCATGGGCACTTTGCCTTCTGCTGTTGCCTCAACTGCGGGCGCTGTGACCACAGACATGGTTGCTGAAGTGCTGCCCTCTTCTGATGACTGGGTTTCGTTGCTGGGGGTGAACTCAACAGCTTCCAGCAATTCGAAAAGAGCTAAAGAAACCATAAAGGTTTATTAAGGATTTCCAGGGCTTATTGTCATGTAACTTACCCTGCGCCGCATTCCGCTTGGCCAGCTTCTTGCTGTTGCCTGTTCCACGGGCTGTGCTTCCGCTGGCAGAGACCTCCATAACGAACTCCCTTCGCCGAGCGGTTTCATTACCATTCTTGGCTATCAGCTCAAAGATGGGCTCCTTCTCCTTGCGCGTCTGCTGCAGTTGAATTAACTTTGTGATGGGGTTATCCGCATCGTCCAGATCCACCAGCTTGTCCTTTGGCGGATTAAGGCGCTTGCGTCTCTCCGGCTTGCCCGTTTGCATGGCACCTTCGCTGCACGGCACAACAGATCCATCTCGTGGCGTTGCCCCTGGTTTACCGGGAGTCTTTACCTTAATCCTCTTCAGGGGCGTCTGTTTTGTGGGCGTGAGGGGCGGCAGCTTCTGTAACTCGATGAGCATCTTCTCAGCAGCTCGCTTCTTGGAGACCTTCTTGCCATTGCCCTCACCCTCGGTGACAATGGATCCCACAATGCAGGCCGTGATGAAGTTCTTCATATGCGCCGGTCCCTCCTCGCGTAGCACCTTGAAATGCACGGTCATGTTGCGCTTGATACCGATCTCGTGCACCTGCGAGATGGGCGACTTCTTGTCGCCCTCATCCATCGAATCCTCGAGAGCCTCCTCGGAAGCGGAAATGGCTTGCGTCTTGAGCACTTGTAACGCCCTGGCCGCCGCATCATGCTTGGCCTGTTGCAATGTGCGTCCGATACCCACAAACTTCTGTTTCCCTACGAACAGGGTGATTTTGCTGGGCGGTGTTGGAACAGGTGGAAAGGGTCCATTCGGTCCGTGATGCACATGAGGTCCGAGAGGCGGTGGCAGCGCAAAGCGCGAAGGGAACTTCGGAGGAAACGGTCGCTGGCCAGGCGCATGAAAGAAATGCGGATGCATCGGCGGCGTTGGAATGGGCACAAATCCGTTGCCAAGTCTCTGCCGCAGGGCATAAGCGGGTGGCGGGGGTTGTGGCGGCATGCCAGGTCCTGGGGCAGTAAGTAAATGAGCTCCTCCGAACTCTGGCGGCACCATGGAATCCGCGGGAGGAATCTGTGTAGGGTCCAGCAGGTAGAAGGTGCGCTGTCCCAACTTCATGGCCAGGGCATTCAGCTCCACCGTCGGCGTAATGTGGGTGCGCATGGGGCCGCCCTCTTCGCTGCGCCGGATCTTCGGCGGCGGATGCTTGTACGTCGTATCCTCGATGGCCTTGCTAGCGGCCAAATGCTGCGCCTTCTTGATCTTGAACCCGTCCGCCGAGTACTCCTCATCGCCCAGCATCAGGGTCACCGTGAAGGTCTTACAGTGGGCAGGTCCTCGTTCGCCAGTTAACCGATATTGATGTGTGATCTTGTTGTACCTGGCCAGCTCATTGACCAGGCACATGGGTGTCTTGTCCTTGCCACCACGACCTGAGCTGCTGGTGTCCTCGTTGGGCAGTGTGCCCGAGGCATCGATGTGCTCCGTGCTGCTGCAGTCGTCAGCCGAAGGAGCTGGCTCCTCTGTGGACTCCTGTTCCTGAGAAGCTTCCTCTTGGCTAACGGTCTCGCTTGCTTTGACTGTATTGTTGCTGATGTTGCTGGTGGTGTTATTGTTGGTGGAGGAGGAGGAAGTGGCTGTGACTGGCGGTTCTGCCACCGTGGTGACTTCTTGCACCACTGCCGGAACCACCACCTTCTGGTTCCTATACGTATTCTGCAGAATGGCCTTGGGGGCATAGTTGCTGCTGTTGTTATTGTTGGCGTTGTTGCTGTTGGCATTGCTGCCGTAGTGGTTGTACTTCGAGGGCTTCGCCTGGCTCATGTAATAGTGGGGCGGTGGAGCGGCATAGCTGCCCAGATGGGCGGCCATGTGGTGCGGCGGATGCGGGGGCAGCTGGTTGTAGGCAAGAGCAGCCGGATTGAAGGCCTGTGGCGGCGGACCGGGAGGCTGGTTACCAAGTAGGCCGTTGCTGTTGCTCAAGTGTTGATGCTGCTGGCGGATCTTCTGCATCTGGTTGCTGTTGCTGGCAATGTTGCTGCTGCTGTTGCTGTTGATGTTGCCGTGGTGATAGGCAGCCCCAGCCGCAGCGACGGCGGCGGCGGCGGCGGCTTGGTTCGACGGCGACTGCTGTTGCTGCTGAGCGTGGAGATGGTGATGATTCAGACTGCAAGAACGGAGGAGAGAGCACGTAAATTGGTTAATCGATGGCCACAAGTTTGAGCTCCCGGGGCGGATGCGCTGGCTTCTGCGGTTATATCAGCAAACAATGCACGCCAAGAGGATTATAGAGGCCATCGAGACAAAAGTGTACATCGACTGGCGCACGGGAAAAACAAAAACACCAATGAGCGAGGTCCTAGTAGCTTCTCCCTCCCCTTCCCTTGCCATCGCCCTGTGTTGTTGTTCCTGCGGAATCGCAGACAACAGCGGCGAGGCTGAACAATGGGCAAAATCCTAACAAAGCACAAAAGCCGCATTCTCTTACGCATCGTGTCATTTTTCGCCAACTGTCAGTTTCAATTGAGACGCACCTACTGCGACACCCTGCTCCTGCCCCTGCTCATGCTCCTGCTCCCTACCCTTCTCCTCAATCTCAATCCCACTCCCCATCGCAATCGAGGGTAGGACAACACTCAATCGCATTTACCTACAGCCTCATACATTTCACAAGACCAAGAAATATTTTCGGCAATTTATAATCGCTAAATCAGTTCGGGAACAAGCCTTCAAATTAACATTGATATGGGCAATTTGTGATTAGGATCAGTTGATATGCGATAAAAATGTCCTAGGTAAGAAGGGACAGGTAATTAATTGGACCTGGTTGGCGATGATGAAGACTGTTCTCTTATAACAGTGGATTACAATCTTAAAAGACTGCTATTTGGGTCGCACTTTCAGATTTAAATATATTATAGTTCTCTAAGAAAAAAGTTCAGGCTTCGTTTTCACAAGCTAATAATTTTTTTCAAGATGAGATCATTTAATTCTTTAAACTCCTTGTTGAGAATATATTTTTTTAAATCGTAGATATTTTCACATAAACTTTTAACTATCCAATAAAAATTCATAACTTTTTTCACCTTTAATATAAAGATTTGATTTATGATTTCTCAGAGATTCTATTCATTAGATCTTGTCTTATAACATTCACTGTAATATTTAGCTCCCAATTCAGGTTCTATGACTACGATCTTCTTGCATATTTCACCTCTCACTTGGCACTGATGAAAGTGTTTCATGATCGTTGGGAAAACGTACGCAAAAGTGCGTTAGAATGTACGAAAACCAAAGAACTTCAAGTTTTCTCCAACCGCCGGTAAATATTCATGTGCGACCCGATCCGAGCGGCAGGCAAAACGCAACTGATTGCGGAACTGAATGGGAAGTTCACCGAGAGTTGGACAAAACATATGATCGCAGACAATACGAGGAGCCTGGACTCCGAAAAGGCCGAGCCGAAGGATCCTCGCGAACGTCAAGGATAATTGCAGCGTAGTCGGCAGGGTAAACCCGTTATCATCAAGCGGAAGTCATGCTGAGCGCGAAAGAACAAAGAGCCACTGAAATTATAATTTATGAGTTGAGAAAATGGGATGATGAGTCTCACACCGATTGTCAGTGACAGGAATTAACATAATTGCCGCAACGCATAAAGCGCAGACAAGCTGGCGATCCGAGGCGATGTGGCATCTCTCTGGGATCTCTGAGATCCAACTGAGCCAGGGAGCTGGCTTTGCCCTTCCTGAGATCCAAGTGAGCCAACATGAGGGTATCCTTTAAACGAGATCCAACTAAGCGAGGGAAATTTGACCCCTTTTCAGGGATCTCATTGACTACAGGGTATTTTTCTATGATCTAATTTATATTAGTTCCCTTTCTGTGATTCCCTTGCCTTTTTAAAGGCTTTACATTATATTCTTAGCGTTTAAACGAGTTGGGAAAACTTCCCATATCATACTAAACCTACTGTTATGACTTTAGGTAGGAAAAAGTGCTTAACCTTTTAAACATTTTTTAATGCGGTAGATACACCTCGGCTAATAGGCACTGAATCTGGAAGACCCATCCTATTCAGGTAATCCCATTATAAGTATTTACAATGAGTAAACGAAGAAAGGGGATGTTAATCCTCTTTTTAAAATCAACTATATCAAGGAGGTAGTTTCTTTTGCCGAAATACCAGTAGAAATATGAAAGCATTATCATTTCCCGGGATGTTTAAGTAGTATATTGAACTTTATCCAAGATAATATATGATTGGGGAATGACAGAATAAGTTCTTCCTTCAACTGAGCTTTATCAACCTCCTGAGCTTCAAAAATAATCTTATAGGTTTATAATCTTCATCATATTTCAGTGGGGGATGAAGTTGTCTTTCCTTTGAGCTCCTATCATACTAGCATCCTGATATCCTCGCATTCTTACCGTGCATGGAGATGGTCGCGATGTGGCGGCTGCTGTGGCGGCTGCTGCTGCAGGCTGGGGGCCAGGTGCTGCTCCATGCCGGGGTGCAGATGCATGTGGGCGTGGCTGTGACTGTGGCTGTGATGGTGGGCAGCTCGGATGTGGGGCGCTGGCCGGGCGGCATGAACGTTGTGCTGCATGTTTCGAGCAGTAACCTTTAGGACTCCCGATTAGACCAGCGACCGCAGCTGCAAGAGAGTAGGAAACAGGGATAAGCATAGGGATAGATACATACATATACACAGTGTTTTCCCTGGCCGCACAAAGGGCCTGGAGGTGTCTCTTTGTGCGGCGATTGTGCGTAAACAAGTTGCAACTGCATGCAGCGCATGTAAATGAACATATATGTATTTATATATAGAGAGGAATGCAACTGAAGCGACGACAACGGCCTAAATCAAATTGTGACAGGCGGCGGGTAGAAGGGTACCCTAAGTTCAGTTCGCTTGATTCCATTTCCGAGCCAAGCAACCACTCCTTGTTGCACTTTTCTGGTTCTTACGCTCATCGGCGACGGGTTGTTTTATGTTTTACGATTGATGTTTTGGTGAAATCGGATAAAATGCAGCTGCAGTGGGCAATTCAGGTTCCCCGCAATCCTGCAATTGCAATTGCAGGGGTTCAAGGACCCAGATCCGCGGATTCCGATTCCGATTCCCATTCCATTCCGTAACCCCCATACCATTCCGAATACGAATACGAATCCGAATCGAGAGTGGCATAACCGATCTGCAGTCGCCAGCGCAACTCACCTTCACCTTCTTGCGTTCCCAAAACGATTTTTGTACGCAAAAGAAAAAAATGTCACGGGAAAATCACATCAACTCAATGCTTTAAACTCCAATCGATCGGCGGGCACATGCACCATAGAATTCGCATCCATGCGGGGTGGCTGCGATCGCGTGCGCAACTTAAAAAACACTTTACAACTACTTTAACACTTAAATTAAATTGATAAACCTATTTTGCACTGTGGCTGCGGATGAAACTCGAAAAATAATGGCTTGTGGGCGAGCGGGAAGCGGGGTGGTTGCGTGCGACGGTGTTGGAAAGCGCGCGCGCAGAAGCGCCAGGGCTGCACGACTATCGGTCTGGTATTTTTTCTTGTCGAAATCCATAGCATTAGGGGATGTGCGTCAAATTAGCGTCGGCCTGTTAGCAACGAAAACGGGAACGGTGGAATATGGAACATGGGGCTCTTTTTATTTTTAAATTTTCTCGCTATTTGGGGACCAAATCGAAAAATCTAAAATGCTAGATTGTTAAGAACGAAAAGATCTATCGAGCTAGGTAGGTTTGGGACACATACAAGGCCTATTAGTGTTTCAAAAATGCATTTGAAAAATCGTGTCCCCACAATTTTGTTAACTGCTCCCCTCACAGAGGTTGTGCCAATATGCACGATAAACCAAGCTATTAAGGGTTAATTCAAGCTCCTTGTCTGAAAGTTTCATCAAAATCAAACCCACAGTTTTCGAGAAAAAAGCCTAACAGTACCGCAACCTCGGATTTTCCCCATACAAAAAAGGGGGGCAAAAATGAAATTACCTACTGCTCCACTCCTAGAGGTTGTGCCAACATGCACGGTATATGGGTAGATAGGGGATAATCTAGGGACTGTTCTGTGAAAGTTTTATCAAAATCAAACCCACAGATTTTGAGAAAATTGCTTAACAGTTGGGGGTGTTAAAAAGGTTATTAAAAGGCCGTTTAATCCAGAAACGGAACCATTGGATACTAAGACATAAACCACAATGTAAACAGCTTAGCCATGACAATCATTCGACGCTAACTTTCTATATCTTTATACAGCTCTCACAGAGGTTGTGCCAACTTGCACGGTATCGCATTCGAAGGGGCATCATTATAGCTAATTTCTGAATAAATTACAGGCAATTCAAACCCACAGTTTTCGAGAAATTCAAGTCTTTTCAATTATGGCTTTTGCCACGCGGTCACACTGTCAAGGCCTGCGATAAATCGTATGACCCGTGACATCAACCATCAAAATTTATATGCAAACTTTAATTAATTCATACAGCTCTCACAGAGGTTGTGCCAACTTGCACGGTATCGCATTCGAAGGGGCATCATTAAAGCTAATTTCTAAATAAATTTCAGGCAATTCAAACCCACAGTTTTCGAGAAATTCAAGTCTTTTCAATTATGGCTTTTGCCACGCGGTCACACTGTCAAGGCCTGCGATAAATCGTATGACCCGTGACATCAACCATCAAAATGTATATGCAAACTTTAATTAATTCATACAGCTCTCACAGAGGTTGTGCCAACTTGCACGGTATCGCATTCGAAGGGGCATCATTAAAGCTAATTTCTAAATAAATTTCAGGCAATTCAAACCCACAGTTTTCGAGAAATTCAAGTCTTTTCAATTATGGCTTTTGCCACGCGGTCACACTGTCAAGGCCTGCGATAAATCGTATGACCCGTGACATCAACCATCAAAATTTATATGCAAACTTTAATTAATTCATACAGCTCTCACAGAGGTTGTGCCAACTTGCACGGTATCGCATTCGAAGGGGCATCATTAAAGCTAATTTCTAAATAAATTTCAGGCAATTCAAACCCACAGTTTTCGAGAAATTCAAGTCTTTTCAATTATGGCTTTTGCCACGCGGTCACACTGCCAAGGCCTGCGATAAATCGTATGACCCGTGACATCAACCATCAAAATATATATGCAAACTTTAATTAATTCATACAGCTCTCACAGAGGTTGTGCCAACTTGCACGGTATCGCATTCGAAGGGGCATCATTATAGCTAATTTCTGAATAAATTTCAGGCAATTCAAACCCACAGTTTTCGAGAAATTCAAGTCTTTTCAATTATGGCTTTTGCCACGCGGTCACACTGTCAAGGCCTGCATATATATTTTGATGGTTGATGTCACGGGTCATACGATTTATCGCAGGCCTTGGCAGTGTGACCGCGTGGCAAAAGCCATAATTGAAAAGACTTGAATTTCTCGAAAACTGTGGGTTTGAATTGCCTGAAATTTATTTAGAAATTAGCTTTAATGATGCCCCTTCGAATGCGATACCGTGCAAGTTGGCACAACCTCTGTGAGAGCTGTATGAATTAATTAAAGTTTGCATATATATTTTGATGGTTGATGTCACGGGTCATACGATTTATCGCAGGCCTTGGCAGTGTGACCGCGTGGCAAAAGCCATAATTGAAAAGACTTGAATTTCTCGAAAACTGTGGGTTTGAATTGCCTGAAATTTATTTAGAAATTAGCTTTAATGATGCCCCTTCGAATGCGATACCGTGCAAGTTGGCACAACCTCTGTGAGAGCTGTATGAATTAATTAAAGTTTGCATATATATTTTGATGGTTGATGTCACGGGTCATACGATTTATCGCAGGCCTTGGCAGTGTGACCGCGTGGCAAAAGCCATAATTGAAAAGACTTGAATTTCTCGAAAACTGTGGGTTTGAATTGCCTGAAATTTATTTAGAAATTAGCTTTAATGATGCCCCTTCGAATGCGATACCGTGCAAGTTGGCACAACCTCTGTGAGAGCTGTATGAATTAATTAAAGTTTGCATATATATTTTGATGGTTGATGTCACGGGTCATACGATTTATCGCAGGCCTTGGCAGTGTGACCGCGTGGCAAAAGCCATAATTGAAAAGACTTGAATTTCTCGAAAACTGTGGGTTTGAATTGCCTGAAATTTATTTAGAAATTAGCTTTAATGATGCCCCTTCGAATGCGATACCGTGCAAGTTGGCACAACCTCTGTGAGAGCTGTATGAATTAATTAAAGTTTGCATATATATTTTGATGGTTGATGTCACGGGTCATACGATTTATCGCAGGCCTTGGCAGTGTGACCGCGTGGCAAAAGCCATAATTGAAAAGACTTGAATTTCTCGAAAACTGTGGGTTTGAATTGCCTGTAATTTATTCAGAAATTAGCTATAATGATGCCCCTTCGAATGCGATACCGTGCAAGTTGGCACAACCTCTGTGAGAGCTGTATGAATTAATTAAAGTTTGCATATATATTTTGATGGTTGATGTCACGGGTCATACGATTTATCGCAGGCCTTGGCAGTGTGACCGCGTGGCAAAAGCCATAATTGAAAAGACTTGAATTTCTCGAAAACTGTGGGTTTGAATTGCCTGTAATTTATTCAGAAATTAGCTATAATGATGCCCCTTCGAATGCGATACCGTGCAAGTTGGCACAACCTCTGTGAGAGCTGTATGAATTAATTAAAGTTTGCATATATATTTTGATGGTTGATGTCACGGGTCATACGATTTATCGCAGGCCTTGGCAGTGTGACCGCGTGGCAAAAGCCATAATTGAAAAGACTTGAATTTCTCGAAAACTGTGGGTTTGAATTGCCTGAAATTTATTTAGAAATTAGCTTTAATGATGCCCCTTCGAATGCGATACCGTGCAAGTTGGCACAACCTCTGTGAGAGCTGTATGAATTAATTAAAGTTTGCATATATATTTTGATGGTTGATGTCACGGGTCATACGATTTATCGCAGGCCTTGGCAGTGTGACCGCGTGGCAAAAGCCATAATTGAAAAGACTTGAATTTCTCGAAAACTGTGGGTTTAAATTGCCTGTAATTTATTCAGAAATTAGCTATAATGATGCCCCTTCGAATGCGATACCGTGCAAGTTGGCACAACCTCTGTGAGAGCTGTATGAATTAATTAAAGTTTGCATATATATTTTGATGGTTGATGTCACGGGTCATACGATTTATCGCAGGCCTTGGCAGTGTGACCGCGTGGCAAAAGCCATAATTGAAAAGACTTGAATTTCTCGAAAACTGTGGGTTTGAATTGCCTGAAATTTATTTAGAAATTAGCTTTAATGATGCCCCTTCGAATGCGATACCGTGCAAGTTGGCACAACCTCTGTGAGAGCTGTATGAATTAATTAAAGTTTGCATATATATTTTGATGGTTGATGTCACGGGTCATACGATTTATCGCAGGCCTTGGCAGTGTGACCGCGTGGCAAAAGCCATAATTGAAAAGACTTGAATTTCTCGAAAACTGTGGGTTTGAATTGCCTGTAATTTATTCAGAAATTAGCTATAATGATGCCCCTTCGAATGCGATACCGTGCAAGTTGGCACAACCTCTGTGAGAGCTGTATGAATTAATTAAAGTTTGCATATATATTTTGATGGTTGATGTCACGGGTCATACGATTTATCGCAGGCCTTGGCAGTGTGACCGCGTGGCAAAAGCCATAATTGAAAAGACTTGAATTTCTCGAAAACTGTGGGTTTGAATTGCCTGAAATTTATTTAGAAATTAGCTTTAATGATGCCCCTTCGAATGCGATACCGTGCAAGTTGGCACAACCTCTGTGAGAGCTGTATGAATTAATTAAAGTTTGCATATATATTTTGATGGTTGATGTCACGGGTCATACGATTTATCGCAGGCCTTGACAGTGTGACCGCGTGGCAAAAGCCATAATTGAAAAGACTTGAATTTCTCGAAAACTGTGGGTTTGAATTGCCTGTAATTTATTCAGAAATTAGCTATAATGATGCCCCTTCGAATGCGATACCGTGCAAGTTGGCACAACCTCTGTGAGAGCTGTATAAAGTTATAGAAAGTTAGCGTCGAATGATTGTCATGGCTAAGCTGTTTACATTGTGGTTTATGTCTTAGTATCCAATGGTTCCGTTTCTGGATTAAACGGCCTTTTAATAACCTTTTTAACACCCCCAACTGTTAAGCAATTTTCTCAAAATCTGTGGGTTTGATTTTGATAAAACTTTCACAGAACAGTCCCTAGATTATCCCCTATCTACCCATATACCGTGCATGTTGGCACAACCTCTAGGAGTGGAGCAGTAGGTAATTTCATTTTTGCCCCTCTTTTTTGTATGGGGAAAATCCGAGGTTGCGGTACTGTTAGGCTTTTTTCTCGAAAACTGTGGGTTTGATTTTGATGAAACTTTCAGACAAGGAGCTTGAATTAACCCTTAATAGCTTGGTTTATCGTGCATATTGGCACAACCTCTGTGAGGGGAGCAGTTAACAAAATTGTGGGGACACGATTTTTCAAATGCATTTTTGAAACACTAATAGGCCTCGTATGTGTCCCAAACCTACCTAGCTCGATAGATCTTTTCTTTCTTAACAATCTAGCATTTTAGATTTTTCGATTTGGTCCCCAAATAGCGAGAAAATTTAAAAATAAAAAGAGCCCCATGTTCCATATTCCACCGTTCCCGTTTTCGTTGCTAACAGGCCGACGCTAATTTGACGCACATCATTAGGGGGACATTTTTTTAAAAAAGTTGTATAGTTATAAAAACAGTTTGAACTTGCAAGACACTTTAGTTTTAACTTTCCCACAGGATACATTTATTTAAGTTAATTGTTGCTTTGCTTTTCACAACGTTAAATTGTTTTACAAGCGATTTGTTTTTCCCATTTTGCTCTGTTCATTCATTAAATAGGCACATGGGGTACATTCCAAATTGTTGATTTGTTGTCACTTTCTTATTTCAAAATGTTTGAATTAATATCGTTTTTTATCCTCAACTTAAATAAAAACACCTGTTAAACCAATAAGTAATGTGTAATATTAGAAGTTAAAATATTTTTATATTGCTCACTTTCAAACTTTTGAATTCTATAACAGATAGGAGAGACCAGCTTCCGTTTGTTTTTGTTAGTATATTTCAGTATTTTATGGTGTTAGAAATGAGGTATTTGTAGGCGCCAAGGCCTGTGGTCCCATTGCGAAATTGGACGAAAATAAAAACTTTGTTTTTATAAATTTATCATGAAATCCACTAAAACAATACTAGAATGGCTATATTTAGATCGCCTGACCATTTTATGTTCATTGGCTGGTCCTGGGGAAGTCCCCAGATCGCAGGGTCGGGGAATCGGTGACGCCAACTCTTTGGCTCAATTGTTTTGATGATGATGATGTTTGGAAAGTGACTCATTCGCCGGCTGCCGATGGCTGTTTTCACTTTTGTTGTGGCCCCGAATGGCATTTAAGGCATTCCGGTGTAGACAGCAGACCAGAAAACAAGTACACGCAGTTCCGCAACTACGCAGCACACCCACAATCTCCCATCGATATGTTCGACTTCAATTTGGAATTTGCTCGTGGCGGAGCCCGTTTCACCACAGAACTCTTCCAGCTCCTCAGCGCTGGTGGCCTCAAGGAGAACGTGGTCTTCTCACCCTTCTCCATCCAGACCTGCATCGCCTTAGCCTTTGCTGGATCGCAGGGTGAAACTGCCGACGAGATCGCCACTGCCCTGCACTTTGTGTCCAACTTTCCGCCTGAGGTGGCCCAGACCTTCCAGTTCGTCCTGGAGAAGTATCGCAATAGCAAGCTGCTGAGTGTGGCCAACAAATTGTACGTGCAGGAGGGCAAGCAGCTGAAAGCGGACTACCAGGCGGCCATCAAGGAGCAGTATCATTCAGAGGCGGAGTCCATCAACTTTGCCCTCAGCGATGCCGCCGCCCAGGCCATCAATGCTTGGGTGAATGCCAAGACGCAGGGAAAGATCACGGAACTGGTCAGCGCGGACTCCTTCACGGACAACACACGGCTGGTCCTACTCAATGCCCTCCACTTCAAGGGCAGCTGGGCGCACAAGTTCAGCGAAGAGCGCACCGAGGAGGATGATTTCTGGGTGGGCGAGGAGGAGCAGGTTAAGGTCAGCTACATGAACCAGAAGGCTAAGTTCAACTATGGCTACTTCGAGGACCTTGGCTGCACTGCCCTCGAGATGCCCTACCAGGACTCGGATCTCTCCATGTTTGTGTTGCTGCCTCAGGAGCGAACGGGCCTTTTGGCCCTGGCCGAGAAGCTCAAGACTGTCAATCTGGTGGATTTGGCCGACAAATTGTCCGTGGAGGAGGTTCACGTGAAGTTCCCCAAGTTTAAGGTGGACTACTCTCTGGAATTGGCCGAGAAGCTGAAGCAGGTAAGGACTTTCTTCTTTAAATGGTTCAATTTAGGAACAAAATAATAGGTTTTTGAGAAGGTATCCATTGCAACTTGTTGAGGATCTTCTATATTCGGAAAACCACATGATACTTGTACAGTTTAGAGCTCAAACACCAAAAAATCAGCTTTTAACTCCATTGTTCAGAGAAATTAGCTTTTGGTTACCCCTACTTGGCGACATAAAGCTCAATTCATGGTCAACTTTCGTTTTGACATAATTTGACACAGTTCCTTGACCGCGTTTTTTGATAAATGACTTCCTTATATGTCATTGTTGCGTGTTTGAGGTGAAATAATGAGCTATTATTAGCAGTAGCGCAGTAAATTCCCTGATAAAACCCTAAAATATTCCATTTTATGGACACGTTGCAGCAGTGCAAACCGCCCCCGAATATATTTATTGACTTCTTATCTTAAAAATTCTTCGTTTTATGTGTATTATTTTTAGTAGCTTATCGCCGCTAAGGTGTTTTAGATAAGCGAAATGGACTGCCATAGTGTAGAGGCAGACTGCGGTTCTGGTTAAAGATCATTTATCAGCTCCATAAATACGTTAAAGAACTTTAGTTGCAGTCGGATGTGACACACCTTAGCAGCGACCTATCTTATCGATCACAAACCCTTGAACGGCTATGACCTCATTAGTTATTTACTTGGTACTTGTTTGTTCTTACTTTCAGCTGGGCATCACGAAAATGTTCACGGACGATGCCGAGTTCAACAATCTGCTGGAGTCTCCCGAGGGCATTTTTGTGTCCAAGGTGCTGCACAAGGCCACTATTGAGGTCAACGAGGAGGGCACAGAGGCGGCGGCTGCCACTGGCATGATCATGATGACACGCATGATGACCTTCCCCCTGCAATTCCAGGCGGATCGGCCCTTCCTCTACGTCATTTGGAACAAGAAGAACATCCTATTCGCTGGAGCCTTCGTTAATGCGGCTTAAAGGCTCAACTCTCACTCTTTTTGTATTGTTTTTATTGAAAAGTATTTTTTAAATAAATAAGCGTTCCATGTCAAAAATGTAATGGTGTTGTTTTTATTGGATAAACTTTTTTTTCTATTTGAATATTTCATATTTGATTTTGAGATAAAACACCTGGACAATATATGATAAATAAACAATTTGAACAAGAGATACCGCAATTCAAAGCTTTTTAAGTTGCTAAATAAAGAAAACAAATTAGACGGCTAAAGTATGAAAAATGGTTGAGACACGATTCCCTTTTAAATTCACATTATTTGCTTTAAGTAATGAAAAAGCGTAAGATTATTAGGAGAACATTTTTAAAATCCGCGCCAGCTATTTAGCGATGCCACCTTATCCCAGTGCTGTTATCGATGCCCCTTCCCGCACAATCGATAGGCGGCCGCAAAAGGTGCTAAAACTGGGCAAACGCCAAGACCAGCCGATTTGAGCCTGCGCAGAGCGCGTAAAACCAAAACGAAGAGAGTCGAACGGTAAATCGGCAGCAGCAAAATAAACTTTTAGAATCGCCAGCGAGAGTCGTCTTTAAAGTCCGTGGAAAAACGTAGAAAGCGGCGGCCTATGGCAACCTGACTGTCATAACTGACAGAACTATTAGAAGTCAATCAGAAATTCAGCAGGAAAACTACGTCGAAATGAGCAGGAGGAGCGGAAACCAGGACATAAGTTCCAAATCGGAGAAGATGCAGCGCTACTACGCGGAGCGCGAGACCACAGGACCGGAGTTCGGTGAGTTTCCCTCGGTTCGCTATATCGTATATGGTACACAATGGACTCAGAATCAGTGTAACCGGGGCTCGCAGAATCAACCCCCAAAGCGAAGGATGTGTCTTCTGCGCTAAGGCTTAGGGGTTGCTGTTTCTGCTGCGAAGAAACGTAGAAACCAAAACCCAGAGCGAATGCAAAACACATTTTAACGATTTTTCCCACTAATCCCTGTCTGCAGACGATCGCCTGATAAAACTGGTGCGCGCCAATCCGGCCATTTACGATGTCAGCCATCCGCATTATCGCCGCAATCCGGTGCGAGTGGACATATGGGATCGCATTGCCAACGAACTGGGCGCCTCCTGTGAGTATATTCTGCTAAAACCACTGCGTAGATTGTCTTAATAAACCCACCCCCTTTTTATTGTTCCACCCAATCGGCAGCTCGCTTTCTGCAGACCAAATGGAAGAACATACGCTACAACTATCTGCAGGAGGTCAAGGCGATGGAGACGGGCCAGGCGAATCCGAATGTGCGCAAGCGGCGCTTCACCGAGGATCTGTCCTTCCTGCAGAACACGGCCCAAACCTACAATGTGAAGAAATCCCAGAGCTTTGTGGCTCCCCAGAATGGTGGAGGCGGAGGAGGTGGGAGTGACAATGATAGCAATAGCTTCCTGTATCCCGATCCGGAGCACCTGAAGATCGACGCCTCCGAGGGCTACGACATCATCGAGCTGGACAACAGCGAGGATGGCTCCAATAGCGACGACAACGAGATTGTGCCCGAGCTGCAGCTGGTCATGGAGGAGCCCAAGGCGGACCTATCCCTGCAGACCACGCTGAACGGCACCAGTAGCAGCAATCACAGCCATGAACACGACCACGCCAGCTCGCCGGCCTCCTCGCCCCTGCTCACACCCATGGTGGTCATGGGCAATGGCTATGACCAGGAGATGCACGCCCAACAGCCAGCGCAGGAGCAGAAGCAGATGAAGAACAACTCGCTGTCCAACGGAGAGGTGACCATCGAACCCATTTACAAGCCGGCGGTCACCAGACGCACGTTACCCAGCGACTTTCTGACTAATCCCTTCAAGCGCAAGGCCACCGAGGCGCCGCTTCAGGCCCAAGTCACCACCTCCTACAGCGATCCCATCGAGCTGTACTGCCTCTCGCTGGTGGACACACTGCGCAGCATGCCCCGCTCGGAGCGGGAACGGGTCAAGTTCGAGTTCGCCAGCATTCTGAAGGACGCCAAATACAAGGACGAGTGCTAGGGCGTCGCTATTCTATACGTACAATTCTCGAGTCACCTTAGATTAGTGGTAAACAAGAAACGCACTCAAACAAGCCCACGATGGACACTCATTTGTATACACTCCGTTTATGTATTATTAAACTTACATATAATTTGTAATTCTGCGTTTTCGTCCTAGGCTAAGCTCTAAGTTAATTTGTATTAAGATGAGGCGATATGTGTCCATATCTATTCAGTTGTATCAACAATGATCCCAAATAAATTATGCACAAAACAAGGTAGCAGTTAGCATCTCATTACTCCAGCGAAATGAAAAGACAGTCGATTTCATTTGCAGCTTAACGCGGCTTAAAACAATTTATTATAGATTAATAAAAGTGCGATCTTAAATCGTCCACGATCCGAGCAGTGTTCAATCCTCTCGATCGGTTAGTGCAAACTAAAAATCTTCTACCGGAGCCGAGGCTCGCAAAATCCCCGGATACAAAATACATCTAAATATTAACTGATTCTTCGAGTCTTTCTACAACAAGAACTGGTTAGTCTATATATCATATATATAGTGCGTAAGGCATATACAGCATCATTAATATGATTACGGTGATTAATATGATTATAAATATGAATCAACTAAAGGGTTAGACAGAGCAAGTGAAGAAAATTAACTTTTTAAAGATTGATTCCATTACAAACTAAAAACAAATGGTTCGCCAGATAGTAGCCTGGGCTGCCACTACTTAATATAAGTTACAACTCGTGACGTGGCGTATTCAAAACAGAGTTCTGCGTCTGCAGCTGCCGTCTGCTGGCCTCCTGATCCTTGTTGCCATCGTCGGTGTCCAAAATGTCGGACAGATCGTACATGGGTTGATAGGAAATCAGTTCTGAGCCACTGGGCGCTGTTTAGATAAAATAAGTTATTGCCAAACCGAGGTTTAGTAGCCACTTCCGAACTCACCCTTCTTTTCACTGCTTATGCTGTCATTGGGAAAAGATAAGCCATAGTTGTCCATCAGATCGGAGTCATTGAAAAGCTGTAAAGTATATAAAGAAAAACCACATTGTTAGTTTGTTCAGTTGGATAATCTTTTGACATGAAAGCCTAGCTCGTGTGGACGCTTTGCGCTGACCTTTAGAAGCAGCTCGTCCTCGGTCAACTGAAAAATCGGCGTCCTGCCCGGCGCCTGATCATGTAAATAGAACGTATGTAAAGTAAGCCTTGGGTCGGACACACGGACAGCTAATCCAAGAAGGACAATGGATAGTAACATTGGATACTTACACCCAAAAGCATGTTCTGATCTATGGCCACCCCGTCGCCACGCAGCAGATCCTTCAGTGTCTCCAACTCATCTTGCATGCTGTCCAAGTGTCCGTGGAGGTCATCACTGCAACAGTAAGAATTAGCCTCTTGATTATGGCTGTTCTGGTTGGTGGTTGAATGCTTCTTGTCTACTAACACTGAAGGGATTCTCAGTAGTTGACCGTTGTTGGGGTCTCGTTGTTGGGATCCGTTCTCGCTGCCCGTGTACTTGGCCACAGTCATGGCCTCCTCCTCATTGGCCTGCGCCTTGGCCGCAGCCTTCGATGTCGAGGCCTGATTCGCATCCAGCAGAGAGCTGTTGGTGGGCACATCGAAATTGCTGGCAAACTTGCCGCTGCTCACGGTCGATTGTCCAAATTTCTGCTGCTGATCCAGCTTGGTTGCCTCCTCTACGCCAGCAGAGAGCAAAGAAGAGTCCTGAATACGGAAAACAATTAGCAACCATTTAAGGCGAGATTTTAAGCTACTTACTTCGAAAATGTCTGTCGGCATATCTTCACTGATGAAGTCCACATCGTACAGATCAGAGTTTGAGGGGTTCATGAGTTCCATCAGTCCGGAGTTGTTCTCCGGCTCGGCCTTGATAATCATTGGTTGGACCATTACATCAGATTGCACATTAACCTGGGAGCCTTTGCGCTGCACCTTGGGCAGGCCTTCTTCCACCAGAATTGGGGCGGGATCGATCGTATCTTCTCCAGCGCGTCGCCTAAGCTTGTTCTGCTCCTTGAGCTGCTGACGCTTCTGCTCCTGCTCCCGCACCATAGGCGTGGTGAGCACGTTTTGCTCCTCGTGATAGGGCGGGCTGTTGGGCACCTCCTGAACATGGGAATCGGGTGCCTCGGTGACCGTGTAGAGAACATGCTGGGCCGGCGACTGACTCACACTGGAGGCGAGCGGAGAAGCGCCTCCGCCGACCAAAAGATGACCGCCAGCAGTTCCATTTCCCTGGAGAAGCAAGTCCTCGACGCTCTGATTCGAATAGTCAACGTTGTGCGAGCTTATGCTGATATTTGAACGTGGACGCTCGACGGCCAGCGGGGAGGCGCTCTCCTGGTCGTACTGCGAAGCTGCGGCGTAGCCAGTCGGCGAGGGATTCATCACCTCGTCGAGCAACTCCTCGCTGAGCTCGTGGATGACCGGGCCGCCGCCGCCCTCGCTCTCCGTCTCGCTGGTGGTGCGGGCACGATCGTTCTCGGGCGTATCGTTAATCATCAGTTGCATGTGGCGCTTGACGCCGGACATGTTGCGCGATGGTTGCACAATGGAGATTAGGAACTGGATCAGTTTGTTGACTATCTGCTGCTGCTTGGCGTGCTTCTGGCGCAGGCTGGCGATCTCGCGCCACAGCACCTCGTTCTCCTGCTTCATGGCGGAGAAGCGCGAGTCCAGGTTGTCCTGGCGGCCGCGCATCACCTTCACATCGCTGAGGATCTTCGACACGGCTTCCTGCTTCAGCACACTCTTGTCGTCCCCGTTTTTGTTGTTCGATATCTTCCTTTTGATTTGGTCGAGCAGATAGGGGGAGTTGCGCTTGAAGAAGGGATGGGAGAACTCAATCTCATCGCGATCGAAGCGCAGCCCTCCGTTGTCAATGGAGGTGATCTTGTGGAATCCATCTGTGTATGTAAAAATAAGCTGTAATTTCAATTAAGAAATTTGTATGCAATTTACTTACACATATTCAATTGCCTGATGAAGCTAGCCATGTTGTTGTGCTTGTAGTTCAATGGCAGCAATTCCTTGGCAAATTGCGCCTGATTTTGTATAACGAAACTTTGGCCATCCTGTAAAAAGTAAATCGAAAACGGAAGCGATATGAGAGTCATGCTGATATGTGGTTGCCACAAACCTATCCGCGGTAGGCCGCAAAGGGAAAACGATAAGCGTTTGCTTATATGTTTGCAGTAACGAATATAATTAGCTAATTATTATAATACCTATAGATGCAAAAAGCGAAAATACAGCTGGGTTCAAAATAATAGTAGCCGATGTAAAATATTTTACAAGTGTTTAAAGAACCATTAAAAATTTTAAACAATGTTTTTGATAAAATAGCTTTTGTTAACGAATTTACAGAAAATCTCATCCAAATTAAATAAAAAGGTTTTGTAAAATATTGTTATTTATATAACTTTTTTTTCAAATGATATGCTCTCGAAATATTTTTCTCTAACATGTTTTTGTTTTAAAAATTTAAAGAAACTTTCTTGAATTCTTGTAAACATGTTCTTTTAGGAGTTAATGTTACACATACTTTTGTTTTCTCTTATATAATATGATTAAGAAGTTTTTAAGCTGTCTAATATTTTTTCGCTGAAAGTACTAACATTTTGACCACATCTGTATGTTTTTGACTGTAAAAGGTATCAAAACGCTACGCTTATCAGCACACTCTTCGCTAAGAGTGTGTGCTAACCAAAGTGAGAACCAAATACTCTTATCTTAAATGAAAAACCGATTGAATGACCAAGGGAAATTATTCGATTGACAGCTGGAGATGGAAAATTTTCCAGAGTTCACGCACGTACGCATGCAAATGGCAAAATCAGCAACAAAAACAACAAGAGAAGCTTGCATACGTGCGTTGCGACACAGCAACAACACAGCAGACAGACAGACAGAGCGAGAGAGAGAGAGAAAAAGCGAGAAGAGAGCTTGAGACACCTGCAAGCAACGTCATTGTTGCCATGCTGATTAGCGGTAAGTGGTGGGCGGGGGGTCTCCCTGGAAAGGTAAATAAACAATATGGCGGCGTAGGATTACCTTGGTCCAGCAGATCAAGCGATTGGTATCGGCGTCGTCGACCAGGCGCCATAACTTGGCCAAGAAGGCCGGCACCCCGCTCCCGATGGCGCCTGCGTCCCCGAACGAGTGCATCCTCCTGGAAGGCAGTTGCTCCTCCTCTTCGTCCTCCTCCTCCTCCGATTCGTGCTTGAACTGCACGGCTTTTGCGGATGAACGCGACCTGGACATATAGTGACCAGCAGCCTGGAATGGAGTAGTCAATGAATTTACGGCCCACCAATACACACGCTCCCCTTCCAGTTCACAGTTCACTTTTCCATGCGTGCTCGTGCATGTGTGTGTGTGTGTGTGTGCAGGGGACAGTGTGCGTGTCCAGGTACAAAATACATATGTAAAATGTACATATGGGTACAATTTCAGACGTGAAAGTTGCAGCTCCAATGGAATTGAAATCGAATATTTTCAATTACAGGCAAGTGCGTCATTCGAGCCATCAACTTGCACAAATGGAGCTCCAGTTCTTCTCCTGCTCCGCCTACCTACCTTAACAATTTCACAGCTCGCTAGGCTTTCACAGAGTAATAAACTCGCTTTAAACTTGTTTACTTAGCTTTTTGCACTTCACTCTCGACGTGTACCGCTTTTTTTAACTTAGTTCTTCGGTTTTTTATGTGTTTTTCCGCGTTTTAAAATTTAATGAAATCTCCGAATTGCTTTTGCTTTTGTACTCAGCGTGACCAGTTTGTCAAATTCACATCGAACTAAAATTTGCTTCTATTTATACCTTTTCGAATACGGTCCCATGCGAATGTTAGGAGGGTGTCTCGACTATCTCCGCCAACATTTTGGCGAGACAGTACTCTCGAAGTTTCTGGTATATACCAGGAATATACCAAAATATATAGGTTGGTGTCTCGGCTAGGACATCGGTATATTTTTCCTGGCCCGATGGTATTTTAGAGCCACCGCCACACTATTCTATGGAAAATGGCTGACACAAATTAATTTTCAAGTGATTTGTTTTGTGCATTTTCGCTCTCTCTCACTCTCTCGCTCGCCCATCTTCCATCTTGCATCTCGCTTTTTTACTGACACTTACGCTGAGGCTATCCCTTTTTTACTGACACTTACGGTGGCTTACGTTTTGTTGACACCTTACGTTCATCTTGCATCTCGTACTGTACTGACACTTACGTTTTCCTTACGTTGTTTTGAAAATTTGTTAAAATTGGCCAGGGCGAACGAGATCATTCGTCGAAAATTAATTGTTAGGGATGAACTTGGCCCAACGACCATAGCAGCCGACAGCCGACTTAATTAGGGCACAATGCTAATTTAATGCACGAATCGAGGCACACTGAAAGGTGGGTAAATCGGCGACTGAAATCGGAGGTGGTGCGTGTGGAAAAGTACGAATGTGGAAGGCACACGGAATACAAAAGGGCCCGCTCTCCGCCGCGTATGTGTAGCCAGGGTGTGCATGTATGTGTCAGCGGGGCAACAACAAATTCGACGAAAAAGGCGCCAGATTAATGAGCTCGTGTTAATCGGCGAGAAACCCATTAGAAGCGAACCCCAAAAAGCCGGCAAATCGTACTGAAGAAACCTATTTTTCTAGAAAAGACTGCGAATCAGCCCCCATCAGGCACAGCACAGCACACACACACAGCCGCAATGATGAACAACCATTACCACTTGCAACACGATCACCCGCCGCAGAACGTGGCACATCCGTTCATGCAACAGCAGAGCGCTGCCGTCGCCCCAGGAGCTCCTCCGGCCACCAGCACCACCTATGGCTACTTGCCGCAGCCACAGGCTGGCCAGCAGCCGCAGTGGATGACCACCACCTACCAGATCCTGCCGCCCACCGCAGGACCTGCGACGGTGGCCAAGCGCTTCTATGCCACCGCCGGAGGAGCACCGCCACAGGCCAGCACTCACCCCGCACATCCCAGCACCATACAGATCACCAACAGCTTCGCCCAGCAGGCCACGCCGACGAAGCAACAGGCGGCCACCAGCTCCAGTCCCTTCAAAGCCAACAACATACGGATCATCTCGACGGCACCGAGTGTCTATAGTCTGAATAAGTCGCCGCAGGAACCGCACTCCCTTTATGCGCCCGTTCAGTCTTACTATTTGCCCAGCGGCGCTGGACAAACGGCGGGCCAACTCAACCTCATGGCGGCCAGTGGAGCGGCCAAACAACTGCAGCCGCCTCCGCTGGTGCCCGTGAGCAACTCATCCTCGCCGCCATCCACCGTGGTGCTCGATCGCATCAATATTTGCATCAACAACCACTACGCGGAATCGCCCGCTTCGCTGAGCTCATCACTGAGCACCGCCCAGCAACCGTCGCCCATCATACCGGCCATCCAGCACAAGGCCATCCTGCCCCTCATCGACAGCAGCACGGCGGACAGCAGCAGCTGCAGCAGCAGTTCGGTGTCCAGCAGTAGCTATGGCGGTGCCACGACCACCTCTGCGGCGGTGGTGATTGTGGATGAGCCGGATTCAACGACCACAACGCCACAGACACCGCCAACCACGCCGGAGACGATGAGTTCGCCCGGGAAGAGCTCGCCCTCGCCTCCGCTGCTGGCCACGCAGTCGCTGCTTAAGGCCGTCAGCCAAATGAAGCCGAGCTTCAAGGCCGTCGAAACAGCACCACCCACACCGCCAACTCCTCCATCTCCGCCGCCGTCGCTGCCACCAGTGGCTGCTGCTCCTCCCCCGCCGGCTGTCACATATGCCCTGCAGGAGGACGTCTTCATCAAGTGCAACGATGGGAGGTTCTACCTGGGCACCATTATTGAGCAGACATGCGATCAGTATCTCATCCGTTTCGATGATCGGTCCGAGCAATGGTGCGAGCCTGACAAGCTGCGCAAGTTGGGCGGCGGTAGCTCGGTTACCGGTGGCGGAGGAGGCGGTTCCAGTTCGGATACCTCAAACACCTCCACCACCGGACCCATGTGCGTGGCCTGCAAGCGGTCGGATGTCGAGGATGTGGTAGAAATCTGCGAGCGATGCGGACGTGGCTACCATCGCGGGTGTACCATTGAAATCGTTACCGGCAGCGGAATTTGGAGCTGCAAACGGTGTGCAAAACCCATGAAAATGCAACAGCCGGTTGAGATCAACAAGCCAGCGGGGATTTGCCGCCAGTTACCCTACCATGTGAGTTTGCTGTGTACCTAAACAAAGGGATTATGTTGCTAATCCGGTTTCTTCCCACAGGCGGATAAGCTTAGCTGGGATGAGAAGCATCGGGTGAACGAAGAGCAGATATACTGCTACTGCGGGAAGCCTGGCAAATTCGATCACAACATGCTGCAGTGCTGCAAGTGTCGCAACTGGTTCCACACCCAATGCATGCAGAACTTCAAGAGGAAGCTGCTGCGCGGCGACATGTAAGTCTTGAATTGTTTTTCTGGGAACTTTGAATTTAATAAAACTTTGCTCCACCAGGTTCTTTGTATTCTGCTGCACCGTGTGCAACAATGGCGTGGAGTTTGTGCGACGTCTGCAAATCGACTGGGTGGATGTGCTCCACATAGCGCTGTACAATCTGCGCAAGCACCAGCACCAGAAGTACCATCACCTGCTGAAGGACATTTGGCCCTTCATACTCGAGCAGCGCCACCAGCTGCCCATCTGCGAGCAGTGGCGCACACTGCCGGAGACGGCACTGATGGAGCGCATTAAGCAGACTCTGAAAGACTACTCGGAGAGATTTGTCTGCGGCAGGGAGTTCAAAAGAGCGCCGGCCTTCTATGCGCTGCGGCACAGTGGTCCGCCCTTGACTCCCAAGGTATTCCTGGAACCCCACGAGGAGCTTTCCGACGAGCTGTTGGTCAAGAAGTTCAAGCTGTTGCTCATGCCAGAGAAGTCGATGGGAAATGGCGGCGAGCCGCCGAAAAGAGTTCCCAAAGATGTGTACGAGTTCAATACTGATGAAGATGAGCCGGTTGAAACGAGCGAGGACGAGATCCCCATCAAGCAGATCATCGAGAAGGCCAAAAAACAGGCCAGCCAGAAGATCGAGGAGCAGGATGAGCTGCCGAAAAAGCCGCAACCCGTCGAGGCGGGCGCCCTCGATCTCGCTGACGACAATGCCAACGACGGGGATCCCGGGAAGCTGCCAGCTCCCATTCCACCGCTGCTGGACGCAAACAGCAGTCGCAAACGCAAGGCTTTTCGTCTGTCCAAGCGCTATGACAACAGCCGCAATCACTGTGATCTATCGTCCGACGAGAACTCGAGCAGCAGCCGGGGAACCAGCTCGCTGGACCTCATCATACCCCCGCCGGCCAACTTTCTGGGACGCAACAATCCCTTCCTGATGGCGACACCCAAAAAGGCGACGCAGGGACGGAGTGTCGGTGGAGCTGGGGTCGGGGTGAATGGCATCATCAACAGCATTTTCAAGCTTAAGGGCACCTCCAAGGAACAGCCGCGCATGGTGCGCACCATCAAGCGAAGACTGAGTGCCAAAGACATAACCATAGGGCCCAATCAGGAAGTGCGCAGGCGTCGCAACCGGCGCCTGACCACGGCCATTGAGGTAGGAACAATGCAATTGGTGTAATCACAGTGTTTCATGAGTTTTTGTTTCCACCAAACAGGTCATCAGCACCACCACCATCAATCCCATACCCAGTCACTACCTTCCTCTCTACGCCAAAGATCTGCAGCCACCGGCGCCGCCGTTGGGCAAGCCGACGCACGGACGCCTGTTGCGCCAGCGGCCGCAGAAGCTCTCGCCCAGCCAGAGCCGCCGGAACTCCACCAGCTCGACGGCGACCACCAGCAGCAGCAACGGGCTCGCAGCCCCAGGACATTCCATGCTGGATCTGAAGCAGTCGGTGAACAAGTATTTCGGCGGCGCCATGAATCGCATTGATGCCGGCGAGTCCTTTGCCATCCGGGCCAAGCGGCGCATGGGCAACGGCCAGGTGCAGTACCTGGTGGAGTGGGGAGGAGATGCTGCGATCGGATCGATGGGAAACTAGGAACTAGACTAGACGACGACTCATTTTTACCTTTATGTTTATCATTTTCATTATCATTTTCCTGCGTTATTCTTTATCCAATGTTCGCTGCCAACTCCGGGCCCCTTTATTTGTTAACGTTTAAAAGTTTATTACCAATCCACTGCCAAAATAGCAAAAGAATGTTCAAAATATTGGTTCAGCATTAAAGCGGTATACTGTTAAAATGTAAAAAGGAAAAAAAACAAAAAAGAAATGCAAAAAGCAACTGAATACAGGTTATAATTGTGCAATGGCAGTAGATTTCCACAAAATTGGTAAAAGTATTACAAGATTAATCTGGAAGCCTATGTAACATTCGCTGCTGAATGAAAACGTATTAATTAATGTCTATCAAAGGGGAAAAACGATTCAGTTAAGCTCAGTATCGTAATCGTACTTTAGTTACCACTTAATGTGCCCATGTATATTTTCGAAAAATATATATTTAAAGGGAAACTCTCACACAAACCATGTTATGCATACAAAAAAAGTACACACAAATTAAATAAAATTTAGGACTAGTTCAATAATAATTGTCGCCCATAGTCTAGGGAAAACTACACAGTAAGCAAGTACATTTTAACTATTAAAAGCTACATGAAATCAAAATTGAGTTGAACGCTAAAGAAAATCTCAAGCTAAACCCGACCGGAATATGTGTTTAATGAAATGAAGTATATAATGCCCAAATAAATGTTTCGAAAAGTGCCCGTTTCTGATATTTTGGATGACAGTCTTTTTTAGTAGGGAACCCCAGTAGGCGGGGAAAGTGACGTTTGGGTTTAGGGTCTGTCAGGCCCCGATTTTGCTTGGCCGCTTCATTAGGTACTCGAATGCCAGGGCGCATGCAGCTGTCGTCTGAAACAGGAACAGAAAAAAAATAGCAAAAATTGGTTTATTGCCATAAAACAAAAAAATTATTTAATTACACTCGGTCGCTGGCGGTTTTCTTCAAGTGTTGTTTATATTTCGTAGAAAACCACGAAAAGCATAAAAAGTTCTTGAGTGCCGGTTCGAGCGGATAAGGGAAAATACTCCGGCTTTTATTGGAGTCTTGGAGTGCAAGCTCATCACTTTTTCGTCGAGTTGGGTAAGTTTGAAAAGAGGGAATCCCAGAGTTATGAGTGCGTTTCTACAGTGCAGTTGCATAGAAATTGTTGAAAATTAAAGCGGAACTTTATTCATTTGTGCGGAAAATTAAGTTTTTCAAAAGTCAAGCAAAACAGGGTTGCCTACGAATCTTTAGATAGGATTGATGATAAAAAATTGCATTAAAAAATTAACAAACACTTAATTGGTTAAATTGTTTAAACAAATTGCGATAGCTATGCATTATATATAGTGATTTTACTTGTGCATTAAATTTTTTTCAAAAGTCAAGAACAGGGTTGCCTACATGTCTTTCAATAAGTGTGATGATGAAAAATTACATTAAAATAACAATTTTACTAATTGTTTAAAAAAAAATTGTGATAGCTATGCATTTAATATAATGCTTTTACTTGTGCATTACAATTATTTCAAAAGTCATGCAGAGTAGGGTTGCCTGGTTGGTTGGTTAAATTTCAAAAAGTGATTAGCTATGCTGTTAAAATAATGTTTTTATTTGTGCATTATAATAATGCAAAATCATTCATTCCGCGACATCCCAGTCACTGTGACCGTGAACGCTTGGGATATTCTTTTGGTATATTTCGATATACAAAACTGGTATTTTTCAGTGACGAACGGTATATTAAAAAAACTGACCGGCAACACTGTCGCGTAGAGTCCGTTTTCGTGAGCGGTCGTGGATTCGCTTTCAGCACACGGCTTATCACATATTTTTTGTGAAGAAAAAATACATAAAAACCAAAAAAAATATTAAAACACAAAAAGTAACAAAAAAAATTGTAAAAAGTAGCAAAAAATTCGAGCGTGTTTGAAAAGTAAGTACCGAGGAGGACGAAGGCGTGCAGTGTGAGAGAGAGAAGAGGGTGCGACGCGAGACAAGGCGAAATGGGAAATTTTCCCAGTGAAATTCGTCTTGTTTCGGCTCGCCCGCCGTTCAAAAATGGCGTCATGGAACGCCAAACTATTCCCAGAATCGCGGGCAAGGCTCCAACGATCGTGAATTTTCGCGGAAATCCTAGAAATCGGATAATTTCGGGCAGGCAGAACGCGTGTCTATCTGTGTGTATGTGTGGAAATTTTCCAACGGCGAGAGGGAGAAAGAGCAGAGAGGGAGAGCGCTGACGGGGCAACAACAAAGCACATGTGGCGGCGTTGCCATGCACTGTCACGCGCGCCAGAGTTGCCACCCAGACACACAGACAGACGAATAGAAGAGCAAAAGCCACGCCGCTTTTTTTCTTTCTATTTCACCGCCTGCCTGGCCGAATCCATCCGGTCCGTAAAAATTTCGAAAAAACCCGAATTTCCGAGTGAAAAACAGCAAATTAATAATCGAAACTTGCAGGTAGACCTGACCACCAAATATGGCTTCTCTATACGTCGGTGATCTCCAGCAGGACGTCACTGAAGCGGGACTCTTTGAGAAGTTCTCGTCTGCTGGTCCAGTCCTGTCAATTCGTGTCTGCCGCGATGTGATTACCCGTCGCTCGTTGGGCTATGCCTACGTCAACTTCCAGCAGCCAGCCGATGGTGAGTAATCCCCCCGAAACGTAGTGTAGTTCCGTAGTCGTAGTGCCTGGAAGGGGAGCCCCGAGCCCCTCCCGCGCGAAACAAAGGAAACACGTGTGCAGTTTTTGCACTCACACTCGCACACAACCACATGCCCCGCGTACAGTGGGAAAAAAACGGCCATCAAAACTGGACTTGATGGAATGATGAGTCTTATAAGAGGACCAGATAAACGGCTTCCAAGTATTTCATAACTCGCTCCACCGTGCGCCCGCTGCTTACGTTAATCTTCCCGCACACACACACATACACACATACGGTACAAGTACCAGTGTACATGTATCCATTCCAGTTACTGTGGAAGGAGACGGGAAGGGCGGGCAAAACAGCTGGCTTGTGCTACTCATCAACCGTTCGCCTAGAAGTTTCCGCCTCGATTTCGCACAAAATTGCAATTATGATGGAATAATATGGACTCCATACTGCCCCGACAGCTTATCGCAGCCCCGCCCATAAGTTGTTTCATTGTTTCGTCGCATTTTCTGGTTTTATTTGTATATTTGTGTGTTGTTTCCAAGCGGCGAACTTGCGCACACGCACACACACTCGCACTCACATACGTCTCTTCCATAAACATGTGTTCATTGTTGTTTGGACCATTTCTTTCTCTCTGTTGGCCTTCATCTATTTTAGGTTATATTTCCATTAAGTAAATTTCCGCACGCCCGCCTTTTATTGGCGTTTACTTTACCTTTGTTTTGCTTTCACTTTCACTGGTAGTAGTCCTCCTCCCTGCTTGCCATTCCATTGATTAACACTTCCAAATTCTTGACATGTCAGTAAACCGCTCTTCGGCCTCTCTTTCGCCCATTAAAGTTGTGGCTTTACAAAAAACGAAAACAAACTTTCACTGCGCACACATTGTTGCTGCTGCTTCTTCGTTTCCCGTTGTTCGCTTACATTTGTTTATCGAATTAAGCGTACAATGGTGATTACGCTGCGTGTGAAAGCCGTCGCATTCCAGCATTCCACCAAGTTTACTGAACTCTGGCTTTTGAGGTTAGGGAGAAGCCTACCAGCTTTTTAGAAACTGCTGAGGGCATTATACTAACCTACACTATATTGCCGAATTTCGGTTTTTGATATTTATGGATAAGATCGTTTTAAGTAACAGACCTTTCTCGCAACTCCTACCCATTGGTTGGTCAGATTTAACCCATTTTGACACGACTAAGATTCAATGTTGCCAGAAGAAACTAATGCGACTTACCATGCTGATGGTTCTCATATCACCAGCAGAAGTAGAAGCATTACAATCCATTATAAGATTCTTTAGGCGCCAAGCTCGAAATTAAGACTTATTAGCAACATCTACCCATTGGTTGGTCAAATATACCCTTTTTGATACGACTAAAATTCATTGTTGCTATAAAAACCTATGCAACTTACCATGTTGATGGGTACCGCATACCATCTGCAGAAGTAGAAGCATTACACTGATTCCATAAACTATCATACGGTACTATTAAAGGAAAATCTGATTTATTACCTTTGAACTCCGATCCAGACTCTTGGCAACTCCTACCCATTGGTTGGTCAGATTTCACCCTTTTTGACACGACTAAGATTCAATGTTGCCAGAAGAAACTAATGCGACTTACCATGCTGATGGTTTTTACATATCATCCGCAGAAGTAGAAGCATTACAATCCAATACTTTATTTGATAGGTGCTAGACGTTCAAATGTAAGTCATCTTAGCAACTTCTACCCATTGGTTGGTCAGATTTAACCCTATTTGACACGACTAAGATTCATTGTTGCTATAAAAACCTATGCAACTTACCATGTTCATGGGTACCGCATACCATCTGCAGAAGTAGAAGCATAACAGCTACATATTTTCATAACTTCACAGTAACTGCTTTATATTTATATGGTTTAGATAAACATTCTTCAACAATTCGCTTATCAGGCTGTTCACCATCTCAGATCTATAGATTACTAGCAGCTTCAACCCATTGGTTGGTCTTATTTACCCTTTTTGACACGACTAAGATTTAAAGTTGCTAAAGAAAGCAAAGGAACTTACCATGCAGAGGGTTTTTTATACCATCAGCAGAAGCAGAAGCTTGACAGTCCCAAAAATTATGAGCCAGCATAAATTTAGCAACTACAACCCATTGGTTGGTCAGATGAAACCCTGTTTGACACGACTAAGATTAATAGTTGCCAAATGAAAGACCAGACTTGACTTACCATGCACTTGGTTGCTTTTTGCTTATGGCCAGTGCAGAAGTAGAAGAGTCACAATGCCATTTAAGAATATTTTAGTATACTATGCTTTTGATACTTTGCTAATTAGAACATACCTCATCTTTCATCCGCAGCTGAGCGTGCTTTGGACACCATGAACTTCGACCTGGTCCGCAACAAGCCCATTCGCATTATGTGGTCCCAGCGCGATCCCTCACTGCGCCGCTCCGGCGTTGGCAACGTGTTCATCAAGAACCTCGACAAGGCCATCGATAACAAGGCAATCTACGACACTTTCTCCGCCTTCGGCAACATCCTTAGCTGCAAGGTAGCCACCGATGAGAAGGGCAACTCCAAGGGCTATGGATTCGTTCACTTCGAGACCGAGGAAGCCGCCAACACGTCCATCGACAAGGTCAATGGCATGTTGCTCAACGGCAAGAAGGTCTACGTGGGCAAATTCATTCCCCGCAAGGAGCGCGAGAAGGAGCTGGGCGAGAAGGCCAAGCTCTTCACCAATGTGTACGTGAAGAACTTCACCGAGGAGTTTGACGACGAAAAGCTGAAGGAGTTCTTTGAGCCATACGGCAAGATCACCAGCTATAAGGTAACCTTTCTTAGATGTGTTTTATTTTGGTGCTTTTCTGACAGTGTCTTCGCCTCTAGGTCATGTCCAAGGAGGACGGCAAGAGCAAGGGCTTCGGATTCGTGGCCTTTGAGACCACAGAGGCTGCTGAGGCGGCCGTCCAGGCCCTCAACGGCAAGGATATGGGTGAGGGCAAGTCCCTGTACGTGGCCCGTGCCCAGAAGAAGGCCGAGCGCCAGCAGGAGCTGAAGCGCAAGTTCGAAGAGCTCAAGAAGAAGCGCCACGAGTCCGTGTTCGGCGTCAACTTGTACGTGAAGAACCTGGACGACACCATTGATGACGATCGTCTACGCAAGGAGTTCTCCTTGTACGGCACCATCACATCGGCCAAGGTAATGACCGATGAGGAGGGTCGCTCCAAGGGTTTCGGTTTCGTGTGCTTCATTTCGCCCAACGAAGCCACCTGCGCCGTCACCGAGCTGAACGGTCGCGTCGTCGGCAGCAAGCCCTTGTACGTGGCCCTGGCCCAGAGGAAGGAGGAGCGCAAGGCTCACCTCGCCTCGCAGTACATGCGTCACATGACCGGCATGCGTATGCAGCAGCTGGGACAGATCTTCCAGCCCAACGCGGCAGGCGGCTTCTTTGTGCCGACCTTACAGCCAAGCCAGCGTTTCTTCAGTCCCTCGATGGCCACCCAGATGCGAAACACACCTCGCTGGGCGCCACAAGTGCGTCCCGCCGCCACCGTACAGAGCGTTCAGGCCGGAGCTGCCGCCGCAGCCGGTGGCTTCCAGGGCCCATCCGGTGCGGTGCCCACCCAGTTCCGATCGGCTGCTGCCGGAGCACGTGGTGCCCAGCCACAGCCCGTGCAGGGAGCTCACGCCTCTGCTGCCGCGGCCAATAACATGCGCAACACTGG